GTAAATATGTAGGTGTGTAATTATGGAGGAGATTTTAAGGTATTATTCTGTGATGCAAGGGGTTCGTTTTTTTCTTACTGCTCCACTCATTTAAGTGTTGAATCTAGTAGTTTTATGCAGTATTACAAAACTCAAATCATGCAATGTGATGATGATAATGCACAACAGCTAAGATGTATAATAAATAAAGTATAATGCTTGTGCACAATTCAGTATCGCTCTGCTCTGTAGCCAAGAAAAAAAACTCTAAAACAAAGAGCTGCTCACCTGCTAAAACTACACCAAAAAGACAGACTGAAGATGGCGGTGTTGAGTCGACTTGTTAACTCATTCTCACCATAATCTGTTGTGTTGCACCTTTAGAGAGGCATTTTGGACTTCTGTGTTAGCTCCTTCTAACATGCTATCACAGGCCTCAGCACTGGGTAGGCGACGGCAAGTCACAACATACCATAGGCTGTCATGAGTTATAGCTTCAATGTCCCTTTTTTCCCAAAAGCCAGTAAACATAACACAACTGAAACTAGTCTTCATTGTTTTACCTCATTTAAAATAAAAGAATTTGAACAGGAAGGTTGATTAAGTCATTGAGCATTTAAATCACTGATCTAACAAAAATGCCATGCATTGATTGGTTCCAACTTCTCAAACATGAGGATTTTCTCTTTCATATTATTGTTCATAGAACATTTTGGGGCTTTGGGCTGCTGGTTTAGACAAACAAAGCTATTTCAATCATTTGGCTCATAAAAAAATAGTGGTTAGTTGAAAAGTAGCTGTTGCAGCAGCACTAGCTGTTTCCTTGTTAGGATTGAGCTTCAAATCATCCGACATACACCTTTAACCAAACCACATTTATTTGCAAAACATAAAGAAGTGTGTTTCTATCCTGAGCCACAGTACATTGATTCTATAATAAAGTTTTAATAGCACAGCAGCTTTAAGACGAGCTCTGCAGCTGTGAGCAGGAAGCTGTGGTAATAAAGCATTCCATGGTTTCTCCTCCAATGTGGTTTTTAGGTGCTTCTTGTTTGGTTGGGGAGGGCAGTTTCTACTATAAATGGTCTGTTACACTACCTTTCTTACCTATCTGAGATGGTTGCTATGACAACACTTCCTGCTTGACGAACATGTATGTGAGTTTGATGTCAACCTGATTAGTACATGAGCACTAACAGCGGCTTACTTCCTGAAGCCAGCAGTGAAGAATCTACTATCTATCACCTCTGTGCTGTAACATTTCACTCCCTGGAGGCTGTAACCGAAAAAATGAAAAACAATATCTTGGAATTTTTTTTTGGGGGGGGGGGCTTTAAAGTAGATTTCTTGCTGAGTTGGTCTTTTTTGAGCCAATAAAATAAGGATCCAGTAACGCTTGGTTGTTCATGAAAGCAAGTAATTCTGCTGCCAAACCAACAGATGGGTGTGACTGTATATGTGCAATGTCACCACCACTCCTCGCAGTACATCTGCTCCTGGGTAGGGTGGAATTCAAGCAAACCACTGTAGGCTAGGCCTTGTGACTTCTAACATGCACAATGCAGCACGCACAGACAACAACAACTCCTACAAGCCTTTAAGGGCTGCAGTACAGCTTTGCACACCTCTGAACTACATAGGTGTGTAGTTCTGTTTATCAGTTACTATAACAGAAATGCCTGTTTTTGGCTGACCCAGCAAAATAAGTCACAGAGCTTAATCATATTGATACAAAAATGACAGAAGAAAAAATCTAACCCTGTCCGGATGCATTCTTGATCACTGACTGCCAGCAATGGACCGATATTAAAGGGACCACCATATTAATACTTATTTGGTATAGTTAGTCATATTGCTAAACCATTACTAATGCAGTTTACTTATTCTTCGATAATAAAGTTACTTATTGAAGTTTTAGAATGTTTTATTTAGGTATTTAAGAAAGCTATTGCACGTCTGCTTGTGTTTAGATAATATTTTACATTTGAGGACTTCTGCTTGGCTTGTGAGATGAACAAAAATCCAGTTTAGAAGCGAACAACAGCAACTGCAACTAATGATTATTTTCTTTATCGTTTTGTCTACAAAATGTCAGAAATAATGAAAACTGTTCATAACAAAGTCAATTCATGAAGTCAAATGTGATGCGAAGATATCCAGGTCGCTAGGATGTCTTTGAGAGAAAAGCAGAAAATATTCATGTTTGAGAAGCTGGAACCAGAGAATATTTGAGATTTATTCAAACAAATAAGAAAGTTAACCAGCTCTAAACATGTTTACATCTCTTAAACCACATGCTCATCAAAACACTGGCATTGAATTCTAACCAAGGGCAAACTTCCAAAAAACCCTAGAGCCAGTGTTGGATTGTCCGTTCTGGGCTACTGTAGAAACATGGTGGTTTGACATGGCAGCCTTCATAAAAGAAAGACCCGCTCCCTCTGGAGATAAAAACGGCTCACTCTAAAGTGACAAAAACACAACGATTCTTATTTTCAGGTGATTATACACTAATGAGAACATACCTATGAACATTATATTCCATTTCTGCCAATAAATCCTCCTAAATGGTACAAACTGGTCCTTGATGATGAATCTGCCAGTTATTTTTCTGACCTATAAAATGCCAGAAAATAAATGAAAAGTGTTTCGAAGAGCATGTAGTTACAATATTAGTACGAGTGTAAAAAACAGAGGAGTGTGAATGTATCCCTTGATGAAGCAGAAACATATACTCTCTTGCTTTGTGTGTGTGTGTGTGTGTGTGTGTGTGTGTGTGTGTGTGTGTGTGTGTTCACATGTTGAGAAAATATGTGAATAACAGTAAGGAAGTAGTAAGAACACTCAACGCAACACACACACTGATGCAAGCACACACAGGCACGTACTTTAAAAACCAATGAAAGACATGCGGGGAATCCACAGACATGACAATGAGGAAACAGATCCTGGCTGATGGGAGGCTCAGACGGCAGCCACAGCTACGTCTTCCTCCTGTGCCAAACTGGCTGTTTGTCAAAAAGTCGCCAACAGAGCTGCCGATCAAGTCGGGCAGCATTCTGTGTCAGAAGAGATGCACGGCGCTTCCAGAGCAGCCTGTTAGGCGATGGGGTATTACAGCATTGGTTACAGCTGTGTGTGCCACTTCCCTCATGATCCCAACAGTTCATCCATTGTTCCAAAAGTTAAACTCATATGGAGACAGAGGAAGGAGAATAAAATCTCCTCAATCTCAAGATGCAAGGGGAGTCCCTTAACCCGGACCTTCTTTTTTTTTTTTTTAAATCTAATCCTTGCATTGGGCAAGACACTGTTCCCCTCCCGACCACCGAGCCCCCTCCTCCTGTTACTAATCAATTTACATGCATCACGCGTCACGTTAAATCCTGCCAGCAGCAATCCGGGCTAACCTACTCACACTCAACTCCAAATGGAGCCCATGCCACCAAAGCTGGTAGAGCGAGAGAGTTTAAAAACTGCAGTCCTTCATGTCAAAGGTCACTTTTCTTTTTTTACTTCTACATTAAACACAATTCTCAATAAGCTATGGCTGCAACCTACAATTATTTTCATTATTTAAATGGGAGAAAATTGATGATCACTGTTTCCCAAAGCCCAATCTGACGCCCCCAAATGTCTTGTTATATCCACAACCTGAAGATATTCAGTTTACTGTGAGAGAGGACGTAAGACACCAGAAATATTCATATTTGAGAAGCTTAAATCAGAGAATTTGGAATTTTTTTCTTAAAAAATGACTAAAATCAAATAATCGATTATCAAAATAGTTGGCGATTGATTTAATAGTCGACAACTAATTCAATTAATGAAACTGACAATGAAAGGTTCTTGTGAATGTACAGATTTTTGTCAATACAGGGGGTTAGTGTTTGTTCCAAGGAATCGCAGCAGACAGCCTTATGACCACATCTGACAGCATTAGACAAGGCAGCTGTTCATGGACGTCACCATCTTCATTTCTAATAAACCCATACAGTGAGGCTGCATATTCCTGCTATTACCAGTGACACCAGTGTACGCAGGTCATGAGCACGCAAACCGCAGTGAGTACCAGGAGGTCCTCTCATGAGAAAGACACTGACACAGATGTTGATGTGTGTGTTCATATCTGAACATTTGTCATTTCCTAAATCTGAATTCTGACTCTCTTGGCTAGTGTCAGTCATAAAGCTGTTCCTCCATAATGAAACTTAATGCACGTTACACCAAACCAAACCCCTATCATGGCGTGAAGGCAGGAAGTGTGTGATCCTCAGCTTCCAGTGTGTGGTGCGGACCCACTCATGTTGATGGGCGTTGAGAGGAGGCTTTGATGGCGGTGAATGGGGTACTAATGAGTTGGCCTTATCAATGGCCGGTCTGTATTCTGTCCTCCTAATGGCCAGGGGACATCAACAGAGCTGTTGATGCTCCATGTAAACATCTCAGCCACTTCCCCGTGTGGGGGCCTCCACTTCAACCATCTCACCGGGTTCATAATCTAATTGGTTCATGTTGGACTGCACTTGCAATGTTGCAAGCGATTACCTATTGCATAATCGACTAATGTGAAGGAAGTGGTTGGTTTATATATCTATAAAAAGTGCTATTCTGTTCTGGAAGGAAAAAAAACTATTTGCTTTCCAAAATAAGTCATTATGTGGCCAACACAGTAGGTGGGGCCTGTGGGGAATAATCAGGGCAGGAGGCCCAGACAGCACTGTGCTGAGTAAACCTTGAGCTGAAGCTATATCACCTGTTGAGTACTGTATTCATGAGGCGGTATGATACTATATGTGTGGTCACTGGACTCACAGATAACAAGAAACATTGTTAGGGATAAACTGTCTGTGCTGCCAGCTAACTAAGTGTTGCACAAACGGATGAAGACTGTGAAAACTGGCAGCAGTCAAAGTCAATATGTCTGGTAGTAGATCAGACTGAGAGCAACTGTTGCTCAGGTAAAAGCGCGGTTATGTCCGCTGTTAATGTGACAGTTTATCGACACATGGCAGTCTTACCTGGCCGGGGTAATGTACAGTCAGGTCTAGCCGTGTCTCCTTTCACTGAAGCCAAACTGTATCCGTCAACAGACTGGGAGGAGACCTTTCCCTCTGCTCTGTCGCTCACGGCGCAATGTCACAACTACACTAATGTGTTTACACCATAGACTGTGGGAAACCAGCTACCTCACTGGACACTTCAAAGCTGCCGATCCGTACCGCTTCCACTTTCCGCTGACGGTTGCTTGTTAATATTCAATTGTCGTTTACTTTTTTTTTTTTCTCTTTCCCAGTACGGCCAGTCTCCCCCTCTCTCCTTTCCTTTTCCTCCGCCACTTGGACGCTTCTCGTCGAGAACAGCCGAGTTTAGTCGGGAGGAGAGAGGCGGACCAACCGACACAGTGGCGGATGTTCACCAGCGGAAAGCTAGCTGCTGTTAACAGGCTACTTCCGGACGAGATTTTCAAAATAACACCGCCGTTGAGGTTTATAAAAATAAGCCGAGGATCCACCACGAAGAATATAAACAAATTTTAAGTTATTGAAAGTCAGTAAAATATGTGAAGAATTAACCCTGATAGTTCTTAAAGAAAGTTTTACATGTTAATTAATTAAAGATTAATTAAAGGGTTGTTTGCTCTACAAGTTGAGAAAGGTTAAGTTAAGGTCTTATTTAACTTGTTATATTATATATATATTATAATCATGGAAGTACACCGGCCTCATTAAATATGCTGAACTGCCTCTAGTGCAACAATCATCTACAATGAAGCACAATTCAGTGTGTAATTATATATGGATTTTATTGTCAAACTGAAACAAGGCTGAAAACAAAGTTGAAACAAGCCTGAGATTTAGATTAGATTTGATTAACCTCAGAGCAACATTTAACCTAACACTCAATGAGCTGATTTTGTATTAATGTAAAGGATTAAATGGTAACTACAGTGTCAGTTATATGCATTTACAAATGCAAGATATGGATTTTTTTCAGCCAATACAATAACCGATAATTACCTGCTTGTAATGGCCGATACCAAAAACATAACCGATAATTTTCATTTTTGTATTTTAAAAAGAAGTTTATAACCTGTAGTTTATGCACACACAAGGGTAAGAAAGGTTGCAAGAATGGATGATTTAATATTCCACAGCTCTGCTTTAACTAAATCTGACATCACTATAACAAACAACAGTGCTGAGTTTGTTCATGTCTCTTCTTTTGTAAAGTTCATCAAACAACTTCAAATCAAAATTTAAATTGTATTATGATCATTATTATTATGGACTATTAGTTTATTGGCTGATAATGTATCTGCCCTGATAATTGTTCATCGTAAGATGTATGCAGTGGGGTTATTAGCATTTCCCTCTGAAATGTAGTGCAGTAAATGCAAAGCGCCCCACAGATTATATACTAGTAATATTATATGAAAAGTTGTATTTGCTTTATTAATACTCTAATACCTTTTGATGAAGTACTATAAATGCAAAAGAAAGTCAAGTTTGTCTCCCAAATAATTCTTATTCTGAAAGTACTTAAAAACAAAAATAACACAACTTCCTGTTCCACACTCGCTCTCTCTGGCCAGCTTGACTGATGAGAAAGTGAAAGCAGGTCTTGTTGTTCTGTTATGAGCCTTGCAGAGGCGCCCTCTCCCTACATGAGTACATGTTCATGTTCAGTACATGACTCCATCATTCAGAGAAACACTATGACAATACACAAAAGGTATTAAGTAAAAGGTTTTTTTATTTAAATTAGCATAAAAACCAAAACCAAACTAAGAACCATGTATAATGGGTTACAGTCAACTTCAAAAACATTGATAGAGCTTGATGCATATATTTTGTGAAGTTGAAAATAAGCACTTTATAAAAAATAGATATCTACATTGTAACATAATGAACGTACAATAGGCATTTCCCAAAGTGGCTATGTGGCCTGTACATTTCCCCCAATGATATAAAAAAAGATCTCCATCACTTGAAAAACTCAAATTTAACAGCAGTACTCAACATGATCTAAGTTTTATGGAGTAATATGTATGAGTGAAAGGCTCTAAGGCCTTGACTTAAGTAGAAAATAAAACAGAAATGTGGCCGACCATCTTACAAAAGACTAAGTTTCACCACATTTTGCTTTAAAACAGGAGTGTGACAGCTGCCAAATGCAACTTTCTACCACCAAGAAATGGTTCTTTACACTCAAATCTCAAAAGCATTATGCAACATGTACAAACACAACACAGTTTACATAAAGTATGAAATGTAAGAACAAAATTCTACCATGAAATGAAAAGGAGTGTTGATAAGATTCAGCCTTTAGAGATACAATTGGGAACAGGGAGGCACGTAACAAGTCACACAGCTGAGGGTTTGGTGCTGCAAGAGGACAGTAACTGTGGGACTGGTAGGTACATGCAAAGGTGGACTGTTGATCCCGTTTTAGGGCCAGGGGGTGTAAGGAGAAAAGCCTGTTTGATTACATATGCGAGGGAGGGGATCATTGGAGCAGTAGGTAGTGGAGGGGAGTCTTAAAGTCTTACAGTGTGAAATCTACTCCTGGGCCTCTTTGCCAGTCATCTTGTAGATCTCAGAGGGGCCATCAACGTGGGTGATGGTAGTCGTCAGCTGGATGTCCTCTCCACTGTTTCCTCCAGCATCTCCTGCACACACAAACATCACACATCATCAACACCAAAACTACCAGTAAAACAAAGTGAATACAAAAACATGTTACGAACGTATATCTTCTTGTTTGGGTTTTTTTGTTGTGCACATTCCTTCGTATTATTGCAGGCAATGATCCGTAACGTATCAAGTTGGTTCAGCTGAATTTCACTCACATAAATACTTTCAGCTCATTTGAAACAGAAGTGAAACTGATAAAGTAAATCAACACGCTGACTGAAACTTGGAGAGAGGCGCCCCTCCCATGAGACTGGTTGACGCACTTCAGGGAAAGCTTTCAGAACTTCAAACCCTCTTTTTCTCTCCCAGTGTCACTGACGTCAGGAGATGGATGGATGGTTTTCATTACTTCCCTGCTCTCCACCCTGCCTCCCCTCCCCTCCCCCACCCCATCTTCACTGTTCCCTTCCTTTCTGTCTGGAAGGAAGCCTGGTGTCCATTAGAATCACCCTCTTGGGCCAAAGAGACCCTTCTTTCCCCTGGGAATCTGGGTCCTTCTGAATCACCCACCACCTCCCCCTTCCCCCAAAAACAAACTTTGGATGAATAGGCAGCTTTACAGACACTTACTCCCCATCAAAATGAAGTGAGAAGTCCTGGGACACGTATGAAATTTAACCAGTAACTGTAATACAATAAGAAGGCTTATTTATGTAAAACTTATAACTGACTAATACTTATAAAATTATTAATATAATTATAGTACTATTGAGCTGGTTGCAAAAACATTTAGCTATATCTATCTTTATATTATCTATGAATTCTTTGTATAGCTTATAACCGAGACTTAACTTCTACAATGGATGAACATTTTAAATTTCATCCTCACCCACTATAAATCAATAGAGAAACTAGAAAGCTTGTAGAAATATGTAGTTACCAGTGATGCACTGACCACTCGACTGTTCGTCTCCATAGCGTTTGTGAGAAGGTGCGTAGAGGAACATGATGGCGAAGACGTAGAGGTTCCACATGCCGTAGATGCCGGTGAAGAAGGCGCTGTTTACCTGCACTGTGTGCTCTCCCCAGTGCCAGTGGCCTTCATTAACCTGGACACAGACAAAAGAAAAATACATATTTTTATAATCACTGAAATAAAAAATTTGTCCCATTAGTCCTTATTATGAAGGACATTACTTCTGTTTTCATAACATTATGGCACTCACCTGACTGATGATGAAGAAGATGACAGTCATGGCAGCGCAGGTCAGAGTGACCAGCATGAGGAACTTGAACCTAAAAATCAAACCCTAAAGGACGATAAAGAGGATAGGTAAGTAATAAAAAAAAAAAAAAAAACATAAAACATACTCTGTTCAGCAGAGGAATCCTGTACTGTCATGACCAAATGTTTTTTTATTGGCAGAAACACAAGCTTGCCAGATGAAAATACACACCTCATAATGCAGCCGTCTGGCTTTGGACATGGCAGGCAGGGACGTCCTCTTACCGCTGATGTTGCGGAAGACTTGAAAGACCATGAAGCAGAGGAAGAGGAAGTAGAGACAGGCACAGATCCCTGCCACAATTATGAATGCCATCTGAGGCAACAGCAGTCAAGGAAATCACCAAGTAACACTCTCCTTAAAGAGAGTCTGCCAGCAGAGTGGTGGTGCATACAAAGATTACCTAAATTATTTGTTCACAAATACAGACTGAACATCAGCAAGTATAGTTTGTGTGCTGGTAAGCACATTTAGCCTTATATATGACATTAAACAATATATTCCAGACTGAAAAATGAGCTAATAAGTGAGAGGAAATAGACCTGGTTCAATAAATGTAATTGTAAACATTGAAAAACTGTCATCTTATGTGCTTGTATCTACACTTTAATCAGTAACTAGAAATCGTAAAAAAGAAACACTCATTCATAAAACCTTAACAGACTTTACTGCAGTAGAAGGCACGACAGAAACATGTCAGCGGTGGACCTTATAAAGATTTGATGACCCTGGTTATAGACACTGTACCAAATGTCTTCATCAAACCGCTGAGAGTCAGGAACACTGAGCAGGCTTCTCCTTTTGATGGGACTCAGAGAAAAAGAGAAGAAAAAACTAAATAAAACAGCAGGCTGTTTGGCAGTTGTTTTTGTTCAGTGTGCTGATGAATCTTGCATTGCTCGGCTTTGCGAGCGAGACAAACAAACTGTTACACACACATAAACACATCATCTAGAGACCCTGGAAAACGCTTTCACATATGGCATTACTGAATTATTTCTCATCGTATTAGTCTAGAGATCAGTTTCCAGTTCATGCTAAAGCTAACTAGAAGAAGCTCTAATATATGTACTGGAAGAAGGAGGGCGTTCTGTCATGATAACGTGAGTATTGGTTAAGACACAGATTTGTTCCAACAAGAAGAGCAGAGGAACAACCATAAACATGATTATTGGCTGCTAAACTGAAAAACATAATTTAACCATTCACACTTTATTAGCATCATATGTATCCAACAAGTTGTTGGCTCTTTTTCTGAGACAGTCGTCAAATACAGTTGAAAAAGGATACAGCAAGCTCAGTTCCTACATCCGACGCCCAGATGCTGTAAAAGGGGTTCGTCAGCTGGACCCCTCTGGTGACGCAAAAAGAAAAACACCACATTTACACAATTCCTCTTTTTAGGTGTGTCACAACAATTCATTACAAAAATCTGGTAATATACACAGCATGTTAAGCATATAAATAGAAATAAAAAATCTCGCTCTCACCTCTCACACATGTCAAAGATAAAAAGGCAGAAGGAGCCAAACACGATAGGGCCAACCTGCTTCCAGTAGACTGAGAAACGGTTCCTCTCCATCTGGTCCTGAGAGAAAAAGGACAAAAACATTTAGAGATGGGATTATACTGTATTACATTTTGTAGATCATATATGGTCCATTATCACCAAAATCCTTCTCAATCAAAGATAGATAACATTATTTTTACTTTATGGAGCTTTCTTATGTTTCCAGGTACTGAAACCATTCAAATGGAGAAGTTGTAAAGGGGCCTTGACAACAATTAGAAGAATGGTAACAGAAAACTGACTCTCCCACACTTAAGAGCAACTAATTATAATATGCAATGGTCTCATTTGAAATGCAGCGCGGTTAAGATCCCACCACAGTGTACACACCTGACATTTACTGCAATCTGGGTTGATTGGATGAGCCAAAAATGGGTGTAAAATAAGAGGAGTATAAATACAGTCATAAACCGTGGGTCTGCTTTTATAACACATTCTTCAGTGCTGCTAATGTTAGCCATGACAACCATGAAAATACAGTGACTTTGAAGGTATTCAGCCCCTTGGAATTTCTTAATGTTTTAGGGTTTTTAAACTCTACATCAAAGCATATAAACAGCATATAGGAGTCAACTGCTGGGTAGTCGATGTCCTGTCAAACTACATAAGGACAAAAGAAAAATACCAAACAAAAAATGCACAATTATCCCTTCGATTACGTTGCCAATAATCATTTAAAAACAGAAAAGAGAACATTGCACAACTATAAATGCTTCAAGCGCTGCAATGATTAGTTGATTAATCAATTAGTTGTCAGCTATTGAATTAATTGCCAACTATTTGGATAATCGATCGTTTAAGAAACTAAAATTTATATCCATGTCTGTACAGACTCATAATATGTGAACTGAATACTTTGAGAGAATTATATATAAATAAATTAGGTATAAAGTGTATTGTTATGCTATATGGAAGTTATCACTGTACTGATTATATGTATGAGTTTAGTGAATATGCATGTTGGAACTGATTGATGAAAGATTAACATGGATGTATTGGCTGAACAGGTGCACATGTACTTGATAACTATGTAAAGATGGATTCTCATAGAATATAACTATACTAAATGCAGTGCTTTTGTTTTCTCCTGACATTTTTAGATGTGACGTCACGTGAAGATGAAAGCCCATACTGAGCTAGTTATTGTTTACTAATTGTGTGAAATCTGGAATCTGCCAATTCATTGACTTTTGAGTCAAACGTGTCACCAAATCAACATGATCACAATCTTCCCTTCTGTTCCTGAGTTTAGGTCTTAAATAATGGCCAAAAAAGTTGTTTTTTTCCAGGACATCATGATGTGACAATGAAGTTGACCTTTAACCCTAATGTCGTTATCCCATTAAACATCTGTGTGAAATGTTGTCTTAATTACCACATCACTTCTTAAGTTATGGCATAAGACATGTTTTGTGATGTCAGTGACCTTGACTTTTGACCACCAAAATCGAATCAGTTCATCCTTGAGTCCAAATGGACGTTTGTGTCATGTTTGAAGAAATTTCCTTAAGACTTTCCTGAGATAATGCATTCACAAGAATGGGATAGATGGATGGATGGATGGATGGATGAACCACCCAGAGACATAAAGCCTCCGGTCATTGCTATAGCCAGTGCAGAGGCATAAAAATGTCTGATTTCAGCTTCTCAAATGTGAGTGTGTGTGTGTGCTGTGTGAAACTTAAGGAGGTCACCTTGTTTTGTTTTTTTTACCATTTTCTGACATTTGACTGACAATTGTCTTGAGATGATGATCAAGAGATTAATTGATAATCACAATAATGGTTAATTGCAGCCCTACAAATGCACAAAAAGGACACTAGTGAGGAAGGCCATGGTAGAAACTCTGAAAGCTGAGATGAGAGAGACAGCAAACAGCAACGGTTGTCCTGGTGCTTCACCTGAATCAGTGTTGTAAAGAAACAATGTGGAAGGAGGTTCTATGGCCAGATGTGTGCCATTTTGTAGCATAAACAAATGCCACATAGCACAAAATGTATAGCCGAAGCCAATTTGCAATGCCTGTCCCTAGATGGGTTTTTCCTAAATGTCACAAAAGGTCTACTGCGCATACATGCTCTCTCTCGTGGCTTTATGAGACACCTGAATGGAACAGAGCCATCATTCACGTCATTAGTTACACCTGCTGTGAGAATTCAACATGTCAGAAGAAAATGTATGTTAGATCAAGCTTTCTTTCTATTATTGGGTGACCAAAGCAAAAACAGGACAAAGCTCAAGAGGGGATGAATACTGTAGACTGTAGTGTAACATGACATCCTTCTGTGGTTTATTAGCCAGTGGCTCTAATGACAGTAGCCAATTACTGACATCATTGTTCTACTTGTACAGAATGTAAAAGATCAGTGACTCATACTGTAGTGCAGCTGAGATTGAGAGTGAGCTCTAGTGCAATATATCCAGCAGGCAGCCTGTACAAAATGTACAGGCTATACCCATATCTCTACACTTTATAAGAGAAGAAGTGACAGCTACACTACATGTCTAAAGACTGGGTGATGAAAAGAAACTAGAGTGTACAATGAAGCATGCAGGAGTTTATCTCGGAGTGTGTGCCGGGGTGGGACCTTGAGAAAAAGCCAACAGGTTTAGAGATAATGCAAGAAAAGTGTTACTAATCGAGGCATCAATCAACACCAAGAAGCAAATTAAAATAATTTTTGCAAGTGTCACAAGAGATAAAGCCTGCAATGCAGAATACACTGCTTTCCAGAGAACTGAGTAGCAGTAAAGCGACTGACATCCTGTCTGAAGCAGAAATGGAGCTTATCAAAGAGGTTATCAAGTTAATGGTCCCTCCGTTCAGTGAGAAAAATGTCCATCTCCACGACTGCCCCAATCCAGGCCAGATAACAGATGTCACATGAGAATGACCTGTGAGTTTTTTGTGGGATGAAGGTCAGGTTCAGGGAAGATTTTGATGACTGACACACAGCTCTCACACATCTCCACTTCTCCTCTGCCCAGAACCAATGCTGTAAAGAACTGCATTTCCTGGACAGAAATGACACGAGATAAGATGGGCAAAAATATTTTTCCATAAAACATCTTTTTTTTTGTTTTTATTTTAACATTTTAACATTAACTCATAATGGCAACATTTATTTTTTTTAATTATCCGTATTTATGCCTCATTTGGTTTGACAGACAAACACATAGTATAGAAAGAGTTGCAAAAAGCAAAGACAAGTGGAGGTATTGGTGCAAAAATGCTTAGTACCTAACAAATGTATGCCTAATAAATGGGCAACCAGGAATAATTGAACTATTCATAGCTGAGTTCACACAAAGACACAGTCTGTCATAGTTCTCATGTTTTCTGTTAATGGCTTTCTCCTCTCTTCATCTTAGAGAAGAGTTTCTTTTTACATCCACTGACTCAAAACAAAACAAGAAAAGTCCAAAGGGGGTAAATACCTTTTGAAGGCACTGGATATTTGCTTTACAGATTGATGAGTGAAATGCAAAGTGATCTGCAGATATACACACCCTTATCCTCACAAAGTGCACTATGCGGGTATTATGTTTTTTAGAAGGTTGAGAAGTGGTGATTGCTGGGTGGGGCAGCTTAAATACATATGCATAATGGACACAAGCTATCTTGGTAGCTTGTATGCCAATCCACCCAACTCATGGATACTTTTCAAGGTTTTAAGATGTAAAAGTAAATATCTCAACTGCCTGTTTGGTTAAGCTACTAGTGCGCTACAGTTTTTATATTAACCAGGATTAAGGAGGAGAAAAAGACACACAGGCGCTGAAGCATTGCTCTAAGAAAGCAAGTCATTAAGTAGTCCCTGCCATAGGACTAAATACTTTCAGCACGCAATGGCTGCAAGTGAGAACGCAATTAGCGGGCAAGCCTGCAGGTCAGTCAGAAAAACATCAATCATTTAGTTAAATGGTGCCGGGTACAGTACCATGAGGTGCTCCCCGCAGAAGATGATCCAGAAGGACAGCAGCATGGAGTAGAAGATACCCTGCCTGATGTCTCCAAAAAGCAGCATCCAGGTCCAGTTGAAGCCAACAGAGAACCACTCCACTGGGATATTGATGAATGTCATAGAGATACCCAGAGCGAGAATTACCCTGAGAGAGAAAAGAAGTCTTAAAACTATAATTTTTCACCCCCACTACCAACAGTTGAGGGTTGCAGCATATTACATTTGGGATATATATTTTAAAAAAGGAACATAAATAACAGCAAAATTCCTTCAGAATTAGCAGCAATAGTAATATGTTCACAAAAGATAAATGGATGAGAAACTCCTACGTATAACCCTAAGGAAACTTTTTTTTGGCAAAAAATTCATTTTGTGTTTAAACAATGTTGGCTGATAAAATTTAGGGTCACTTTAATTGGAAGGCTTTACACCTGAATCTGGACGACATCTTTCACACAAACACAATTAGTGTAGCAAGGCTACATCTGCGTCTGCTGCAGCAGGCTCATTAGATTCTTGAGACATTATTGATTAGATTATCCATTCAGCTACAAGCACAGTGTGTCCCCACTGACCTATCCAATTCTACATAATTCACTACCTTTCCAAATAAGCCTCATTATTACAGCCAAGCTCCCTCAACCTTGAAATCCAGAATGAATTAAGCACAATCAGCCTACAGAAAGACAGAATAGAGCTCATCTGCCAAGCGTCTGAAGCAGGTCCCTGCATGTCGCCAGTAGATGAAAGGATGATCGTAAAGGGCAAAACAGAGTCTCTCTCTCTCTCTCTCTCTGTGTGTGAGAGTGAGATACAGAGAGAGGAAATAGGCAGAAGATAAAGGTCACCTGAAAACATGTGGATACAAACATTTTGGGTAATAGAAGCAAATCCACTGCAGCTTGTCAGTGATGTTAAGTAAAACCACATTTGACTGGTATGCAGGGAATGTGTCCTCAGTACCCCCATCACAGACAAGAGAGCTGGTATCTATCTGTCTGAATGTGTGTGGGGAAAGACAAAGGGCTAGGTTTGAAAACCTGTTAAGTTAATGAGGTAGAGGTCCTAAATAGACCTTTTACATGGGACATTTTGACATGTGATGGCAGGAAAAGCCCAGGTGTAACTAATAACATTAATTGTGTCTACGTTCCATTTGGTTGAGCCAGTTCCTGGATCCTGTTATTGTGCATGCTAACTCACTGACACATCATTTATGTTATTAATCCTAACTGTGCTTTTCCTGCTGTCACAATGTCTGTTGTATCTCTGCTTCTGCTGAGGACAGGACATTTTTCAGTTTACAATTTTAAGAAAAGATTCTAATGTCACAAAAATAAGATGAATTTAGTGTAATATGTCAGGGTTTCCCAATTTTATGAATAACATCACCCTGGGCCATTTTCCACATTGAGAGTTCCCACTCATATCTGTCCTCTCTGTTCAGTGGAAGTCTGAGGTTTACCATTCTGACACCTCTGTGGACTAGCATGACAAGAGACTCTGGTAAAGCTTTTACAGCATGAAAAAATCATCCGCTGTCCACAAATAGGGTACAAGTCACACTTCCTGAGACCCCGCTGGTCATTTGGGAATAAGAGCTGTGAGCTGGAAAATACAGAGGGAAGGAGAGAGGCATTGAGAGTGAGAGTGAGAGTGTGTGTGTGTGTGTGTGTGTGTGTGTGTGTGTGTGAGAGTGTGTGTGAGTGTGAGTGTGTGTGTGAGAGAGAGACAGTGTGAGTGTGAGTGTGTGCGTGCATGGGGCGTCTCAGTGAGCTGGTGTGCATGCCCTGAATGTGTGTGTATGCAGCATGTGTTGGTTGAGTGCTAGCTTGCAGATTTTGTAACGTGTTTCACGCTTCGCCAGGCGCTTCCTGTGGCTCAGAACGTTGCCTCTTACTGATCTGTCTTCCCAGCATGGCAGGGGGTTAGACAAACACTGGGCTCTCAGCATAGCTTCCACAGCATGGCGTTCAAACTATCTGCTCCAGGCAGAACTACCTGCATTGGCTGCTCTAACCTTCATGGCGTTTGGTCAAGGAATGAACACAAATATCTGCTGTCGACCTTTTTTTTTTTTTTTTTTTTTTTAAACCACGATATAGTAATATATACTCGAATAGAAAATCTGGGAAGAGGAACGTTTGAAATCTGAAACTATGTAACCCTTTCACACATTTGTTTGATTACGCCACATTATTGACAGTTTTACATGCATTCACAATGCATACAATGAGTGTGACCTGCTGATGGTCCTAGATAACATTCCTCCTCAGACACTTGATGAACAATGCCTTCTGATGTCAGTGACCTTCACTGCACAGAGTTAGCATGCCCTATTTCATCCATAGTTAATATATGCCTTCACCCAGTAGACACACTGAAGCAGAGCCTCTGCAGCGTTTAATGACACCATTACTGTAGGTCCTTGCTGTGTTTTGTCTTATCATTAATCGTGAATGTAAATCTGAATTCTTATTTTGCTCATTTTAGGATTATAGCTAGAACTATGTTGCCAAAACATATAATTTTCCAACATTAACAAACAGATATAGATGATGCCTTACTTCTCCAGCAGCACAGGAGGTCTGCTCATGAGGGTGATACGTCTCCAGTACCAGATCATGATAATGAGGATGCTGGGAGTGAGGAACGTCTTCATGGCAAACCACACTTTGGTGAAGCCTCCATTCTGATGGATGCTCTAGCAGGAGAAAGAAACACCATCAGTGTCAGATATTTGTGTTGTGTATGTTAATTTATTGGGAAACTATACACTCTAAATCACTCAATGGTCAGATAGTTGAAAAAGGACCCTTGACTACGTGGGTCAACATGAAGCAATATTCCAAAAAGACTAAAATACGAAGGTCCCAGTCAAATGCCAACTTACAACAAGACGAATGTCTTTGATTTCTCCGATCCCCACGTTAACCTTCTTACGCTCATTGACAGGCAGGCGGATGTTGAGAAGATAGTACTTATGGGCCACACTCCCGACCTCCATGAAGGGCAGCAGGTCACATTCATAGTAACGTCCCTCGTTCTCAAAGGTCTGGAAAACAGACAGCAACACACTCGTTAAAACACATTCATCTGAAGACAACAGATACTTATTAATTAAATTTAAGTGCATTTCTTTTTTCTCTTATCTACCATATTATATCTGAAGCTGCTGTAACAATTTCCCCAGTGTGGGATCAATAAAGTCTATCTTATCTTAAATTTCTTTAATACAGTAATATCAAAAAGGCACAGCCAACAGAACTCAGAGAGTTAATTACTCCCAGTAGTAAAGGTTAAACAGACTTGAAATAGCAACAAGACCTTTAAGATAAAAAAAAACTGATGACGAACTTACAGATTCACATCTGAATTTTAAACATATCAATTATTTTATCATCTGCAACAGCAATAGCATCTGTGGAAACTGATAATCCAGATATACAGACAAACAGACAAAAACCAGGTAATATTATTTTTGCAGTATACTGCATTCCCACACCTTGGAAGTAGTGAAGTTGCAGGTGAGCTTCCTATGTTCAAAAGAGTGAGCCATCTCTGTCCACTCACTGACTGTGTCGTCTCTGTAGGCCAGGCCCACATCAATGGTGGCCATCGATCCATCCTCTGAAAGGAATTACCAAAGTTAAAATTCTTTAACTATGTCAAACTTTCCAAATCAAAGTATAGTGTAATAGTATATGTGCCAAAATCATTACATCCAAAGAATTATACATAAAATGAAGAATTTCTGTCTTCAAGACGGAAGAATGCACTCATTAAAGATATTCATGTGCATCTGTATTTCAATGTTATACCTCCTCACTGCAATACTCTGCTGGCTGTTATTATCCCAGTGACGGGATAAAATTAAGTCCTGATGACAGACAGCCATGGCCTTTTAACTATAAGACCAGAAAAGTGGCAACACTACTAGCACTGACATGGAAACATTTCCCGCTACAATCTGAAAACGTACAGTTCATCATCTTAAGTGTTTCACATGCTTATATACTCTAGAGTGGTACAGCGTCAAGAAGAATAGGACATTTAAAATGCCGGACAGGCTTACTTAAGAATCTGTGTGGCAGTTCTAACTGATGTCTATCATAGGGATTATTCCGTTAAGAAGGCTGTATTTTGAAACTACACAAGGTTTTGGTTGGTATATTCTCAAAACATACATGTTTATACAAGGCCAAATCATTTGAGAGTTAATACGTGGTCCTTTCACCTGTTAACAGGATTATTTCTCAGCATGTAAACATATTCAGTGATTCAGTCTGCTCTCCATGGTGGGCCAAATCTAGGTTACTTCCTACTTGACATAAACTCCAACAGGACTTTGAGCTGGCCTCCAACAGCCCAGCCCAGAGAATCCAACAAAAACATCCAAAGCCAAGCTATTAAAACTGCATCTTTAGATCACATTACAAAGCCAAGTGTTCTCTCCTCCAGCCCTCCAGAGTACCTCTTGTACCGTTATGAAACAAGCTGGAATGAAGAGAAAGAAACCCAGTGGCCTGTGCTGTGAGAAAAAAAAAAAAACAGTAGTGGAGGGGGAGAGGGAGCCAGATGAGAACTGGCAGCCAACTGTCTCTGTAATGCCCTCCACTCTGCCATTGGTCGAGCCAGACGCCCTCCAATGTCAGCTCACTTCATGCAAACATTCCACTTCAGTCCAGCGGCCATCGCCACGGAAACTAAGCCTCCTCAACAGCTGTGTTATTGCTGGACCCTGGCCAAGGGGTGCCTGGTGCCGGGGTGGAGTGGGGCAGGTGGGTGGAGTGGTTAATAAGGGCGAAGCTCTTCTCTGGGACGCACATTGTTACACAGATAAGGTAGTCAAGGAAGAAATGGCCTTGTGTTCATTTGTCATACAGCTGCAGAGCAGAATCCGCCTACCTTTGGCACAGACAGTGTTCTGGTCAAGATCTAGACAGACGAGCAGACGCCATTTTGTTAATTATGGAAGACCTGGCTGGTTCCATTGTTTTGGGGTTTGGATTTAGCATTTGAAAATATCTGAATTCAGTATCCACTCAGTTCAGGGATTTTAAATCCTATCCGATCTGTTTACCAAATGTAATGAATTAAATTTATAATTTATTTTTTAAGAACTGATAACAAAGACTAAAAGTTTTACCTAAGAGAATAAAGTAAAGTACTTTAGCAGATTCTAATTTCTAGCACACCTTGTAGGTGTCATAAAATGTGTTTAAAGTGGCAATCCCACTTCTTCAGCACTAAGCGCATGCAGCACCTAGTGTTCAGTTTCCTAAACATCCGCCTCTTCTCACAGCAGCTTGTGTAGCTCAAAAAGATCTAAATGAGTCTGTAACAGCTGGCAGAGACCTGTCTGTGGTCCAGGCTGATTCACTGACTTGCCTTTCTGGCAGCCAGGCAGTAAACAACCCACAGCCCCCGAACACATTTCCGCTGAGGCCAAGAATGTGAGCAAGCAAATGATGCTGATGACTAGGCTATCATGGTAACAGGACTGTTTAGACAAGTCAGACCAGAAAGGTTGCGTTGTACAGAATTGCGCCACAAACTTTTTGTTTTCTACAGTATTACAAAAGCCTCTTTTACTTTTCCGTTGACTACAAATTGGACTAATGTGGATGTGTATCAAGATTTACAAACACTTCTCAGTGTAGACATGACTTTATGTTGCACAACTTGTTATAAAGCTCAAGTTGACATTAGCCTGCATAGCCATACATTGTAAGTCACAGAGCATAAGATCTAACACAGTCAAAACCTTTCCTGAACTCTACTACTGATCCAGTCACTTATTAGACTCTCGTCATCCCCTCTAATCCCTTCTTTCAGGATCCCAAGCCCCCTACCAGGATACCAAACCCTGTCTTCTCCGAGATACCAGTTATAGCCCTTCCTACATTCCTCAAATTCAAGCATTGAGATGCTGTAAGTCTCTTATTCACCGATACACTTCACAACAGTGTTGTAACACTGGGTGGAGATGCAAAATGGGAAAAGCACTGGTGGAAATTCCCTTAACAATGAAAATTGAATTGATTGTAGATATTTCCTTTTTTCCTTGGAGCTTTAGTGCCACAGTCTATAGATGTAAGTGTATTGTGTGCAACATTCTTAGTAATCTCTATTGCTGATTCATGCAATTCTGTTATTGTTTATCAGGATCCATAACAACTGGATGTTTATACAGGAACTAACAGTACCAATTACTGCTGAAATTGTTATAGAGTGAAAAAACACAAATGTTGAAATGGTGAAATCCACTAAACTGGGATAACCTTATATCCATAGTAAATAAATGTTTGCGGGTCTCAGGATTGGATGAGACATTTTATTGCTCAGAGGCAACCAATAAGAAACGGGTCCAGATTACCTCTCGCTCTCTCTTTATACCTGTCTCAAGGGTGTCTAACAAGCAGTCTAAAAAAGATCCCCATGGGTCTATAGAGAACAAACATCAGGACATCCATCATTGTTTGCTGCCTTTCAGCGTAACAGAAATCCAATCTGCTGAAGAAAAAAAACACTTCTATAGGTTCCTCCAGCATTCACCATGATGGAGTGAATACACAACACAATATCCTACCAGCATGTCTTGCAGGGAAGGTAATATAACAAACATAACAGCGAGTATTACTGGTAAAGGTGGAATGACTCTTCACTTGGATTTATGAGTGATTAGAAGTGACAATGGATGTGAATATTTCAGAGGCTAGCTGGTCACATTCAGCCTCTGCAAATATTTGCCTTCAGATTGTGAAGAAATAACAGACAAAATATTGACACAACTTGGATTAAAAAAAAGAAAAAGAAAAAACACACACAGAAAAATGTTTTGCTAAAGAACTAGCAAGGCATAGTCGATTACCCAAACTTGTACAATTTACGAAGTAATTATAAACCTTATCACCTAAATGGCTTTTGACAACATGGCATCTTACAAGCATGTGCACATTAGGTTAGGCTTTCTTCCCTCTCTGGTTCCTTGAAAACCATATCCTAGGGGAGAAACATGAGTAATGTTGTCCTTTTAAAACCAATAAAGTCTTGACTCTTACCTATCTGGTTGTACATCTTAAATGCAATGTCAAACTGCAGAATGACCACCATAAACTGAAACCAGGGGCTCATCTCCTTGTTGGGCAGAGGAATGTGGACAGCGAATACAATGTTGTTGGCCTCAATCTTCTTGGCCATGGCATCATCGAAGGTCCGGATCTTGTCACACTGGTTAGGACCCCAAGGCATGAACCATTTTGTTTCCTGTCGGTGCTTGGTTGTGTCCACACACTTTGTGGCCAAGTAGTGGACCGCCGTGGTGGGGCTGGGAGCTGGTGAGACAAATGCAAAGTGGGAGATTTTAGACCTGGTGTCATACTGATATACTGCAGCAAAGTGTTTCAAGTTCCTGCCAAGGCAAATTTCCCCTCAAACCAATAAATCACGCAAAAAGTTTGAGTAAAAATCAATAAATAAAACTTGAGCCCTCTGGATTAAACTGTGCATGGACAATATTAATATCTTAGCAACCATTAGGAACAGTCAACAGACTGGGTTTAAGCCAAATCTAGTCCAAACACTTTGGCAATTACTTTTAACAATGTTTAGAAAATGCTTGGTAGCAAGGCGCTCTCTCCCTCTGAAGTGATGGGGAGGGAAAATTCCCGAAAGCTCTCAGCCACCAATTACACTGTTTACGCATTGAGATTCATGAGCTTGACAAGACCGAGTCTCTACTCACAGGACTTTAGCTGTGCTTGGGAAAAGATCTATCATTATCATGCCGGCACAAAAACTTTGGTCTCCTATTGTGAAAGCTCAAGGTCTGATGTGAACGACATCCGAGAGGTCTGAGAGTCGAGGTGTAGCCCCAAGGCGAAGAGCTAAACTCACAGGATTTTTTAAACATCATGTAGTGGCGATGATGTCAAACATTTTGATGATCGGCCGATTTGGTCGACTGCGGGCTGGGATTTCCCCATTATTCTCTATCATCAGGTAGAACAAACAACATGAGGTCAAGTCTTTATGAGTAAAAGCACCGACATATTAAACAAAGCCTACACTACTTCAAAGAGTATTCAAGCCACTTAGTTTTATTTGAATTAAGTTACGACCACAATTCAACGGTAGATTCTCTAAGATTTGGAAGTGACACAAAAATCCATAAAGCCACAGCAGTTATTCTCAGTTGCACAAATTATTGTGATAGTGGTGGCAGTTAAATGTCCAGACTGGGTTAGGTACATAATGTTTCATCAACTATGACTGGACCCAGTGTTGGACCCAGGATGATCACACAAAGGCATAAAAAAGGTAGCACACACAGATCTGCGGGAAAAAAAAGTTTACCAATCTGAATCACATCAATTTATTTTGGCCATGTCAGAAAAATATGCAAACGTTTTAGCCTCATGGCCTTCATCAGGGCACTAAGAGCTAACAACTATGACTGGAATGAAATTATTGTTTTATGTGCAAGTTCCTACAAGCTTCATGTCAAAGCAGAAACTCTACAATAAACTGTGCATGGATCAGCTGAAACAATCAGTTAAACTAAAGAAAACAAATTGGCTTTTTTTGTCAATCTAAATTTAATTTGTCAAGCAAAAAATGTCAAACATTTGATGGTCCAAGCTTCTCAAAAGTGAATATTTGCTGCTTTTCTTCATCAAATATATAATATAGTATATAAAGTATACCCTTCCCAAATAATTCAAATAGACAAAATAATTTGACTGACTTGGATCTATTTTAGCACATTGGCCAATCTTCCAAGAGTCTACAAGTTGCAGATGCAGCAGGCAGGCACAGGGTAACTTGGTCAGTGAGAATACAGAAAATTAAACTGAATCTCAAAGCCAGGGTGGAAGATGTTAGAGCATCATTAGATAGAGTAGATAGTGTTAGAGTCTGAACTGTACACACAAAGACACAGGCACCTGGGATATGTAAAGACAAAAGGTTATTTAGTCTGAGGAAATCACCTAACCCTCAATCATACCCCATTCCTACTGTATGTAGATCTAAAAGAACATACAGCCACTTGGTTCTGTAAAAGGTCTACCTCAGAGGGCCAAAGTCCTACAGTCAAACAGACAGTTATCCTAATAGTACAACAAAACCAGTATACGAAAGTCCTCCTGTAGCCCAACCAGCCTTGTAGCCCACTAAACTTCAGTAGAATGACTTGAAGACAAATTTGCAGATACTTTCTAATTAGTCTGAGCAAATCTCCAACAAACACCAGGAGATATACCATGCCATTTGTCACATATCTAAGAAGACTCCATAAGCTGTAGTTACTGTCGAAGGTGCTTGTGGAACAGTGATGGAAATTATTACCCAGCAAAGGCGGGTGATTTTGTGTGGTGGGTGTGATCTCTGAGACATGAGCATTTACTCACAAGGGATTCTCCAAGCTAGGAAGATCCTGCAGATCACTGTGAAGGTATGTTGTTTAGCATATAACTCAATGATGTCCACCTTTGGCATCAGGCTAGCATCAGGCCAAGAAAGCCAGGATTCATGGAAGAGAAGAGGAAAATTCAGGAAAGCGACACTAAAACTTAAGAAACTGATTCTGACGAGCTAGTGACATTAAACTGGAATTATGGCTTAATTAATCAGCCTATTCATGGTTTGTGTGCATTTTATTTCCAGTATTTTACTTAATGGTTTAGATATTTACGTAATGGAATAACACAGGCAATAGGCTATGTTATTCCTTAAATATTCTAGCTCTAGTTTTATTATTATTTTACACATGCAGTTACACAGTGCCAGTTAAAACAAACTGAGTGTCTGGTAAATTTAGCAATCCACCAGCCACGGTGGGGGTGACCATGAGAGAGTTTTCAGATTTAGCACGTGAAAAAGATTAGTGACTTATCTGTGAAGACTCAGAGCTGTTATCACTGTCAAAGGGGCTTCTAGCAAGCACCAGCTCCTGAGAAGTAATACGTTTAGAGTGGATACTTTGGCATTTCCTAGTTCCCATAAACTAAAAGGTATGAATCAGACCAGTTTGTTAGTACAGAAGGACCCTGTTACTCACCTGAAAATCTGATCATATCACTTGTAACAGAGAGCTTAAAGGCCAAACACCACAAACACTTTGAGTAACAGACACTGCACCCAGTCATAAAACTGAGCCAAGGCCATCTTTAAAGGAACCTTCAAGTGTGTGTTAACAGCTGTGTAAAAATAAAAATAAAAAGCTATACACACACAGTGTGACAAAGAAGACACACCAAACTGAATTAAACCCAGTTATCTGGAACCCCTTGGAGTTCAATTATCTAGTGACCCTGTGAGTCCAGCAGCACACCGGCTCCTCCAGTCTCCATCGCAGTGTGTCCAGAATAATGGCCGTCCCCTCAGCCTGCTGACCCCATGCCGTGTCCCCGGGTTTGTCGGGAAACAAGGGGAGAAAAACCCCTTTCTACTCAATTACCCCCGCTGCCCTCGGCCACTGAGCAAACACAAAGGAATCTGGCTTCATTAAAACCATCTCAGCCAGGAACGAACCAAACAGGCTAATTTATCTCCAGTCATGTAGTGAGTGAGAGGGGACACGGAGACAGACCGACTGGTGTCTGGAGGAGGGGGGCTGTGGATGGTTTCCAGGTTCAGCCCATAGGAAAGATAGGCATCTTTCACTCAATTTCAAATGTGTGTGTGTGTTGTTCATGTGCGAGTGGGTGGATTTGAAGAAACTTGACAGCAACTCCAATACAATCCTAAAGGCAAAATGCAACTTCGACAGCTGTGTGCAATTGTGTGCTTGTTCTCTGTGCACCACTGTCTGTCTCAATGCAAATGAAACGGGAGGGAGAGAGGGGAGAGGAGGAAACATGAAGGCTATGCCTGCAAGGCGACTGGGATTTGGGGAGTAAGGGAAGGCTTCACACAGGGGGGAGAGGAAGGAGTGAAAGGAAGGTAGAGATGCTGCCTGGGGCCCCTCAAAGCAGACAGACATATCTGAGAGGAGGGAGGAGGAGGAAGAGGAGGAGGGGAGGCATAAAGGAGAGAAAGAGGGGGGAAGGAACATTCGAGTTTGGATCAAAGAGGTGAAAAAAAAAAAAAAAGACACAAAAGGTTGTATGTGAAGCGAAGATCTGAAATTAACCCACAAACTATGGTGGCCCTGTGTTGTTTTTAGCCGCAGAAATGAAGCCAGCGGCTGAGGCACGCAGGCAGCAAACACCTTGATACAAAGCAGTGATTTAGCGGAGGTGCACTCCGGCTGCTTTGGTGTCGAAGTGACTGTTTCAAAGCACCGCATTGTTTTCGGCTCGACTCGGTCAACCCTCGGCAGGTAAAACACAGCTAAAAGTTAGCTCCTGTCGTCTTTTCTTAACGTGATAACAGTGATTAACGCTGGTAAAAGAGGATTTTAACCAACTTTAAACTTTGTGCTTTTGCCGTTTAGAGCCGTTAACGTTTAAATCCCCTACAGGCACGCGCGCACAGTCAACTGTTAGCTAACAGAGAAAACAAAAAAGTAAGAGCATTAAAAAAAATGGAAAAACTCACCAATTAAACCGCCGACCATGAAGGCAAACGCCTGGAACAAAAGCAGAATAACTCCCACTATCACCAACTTTTTGGTGCTCATATTTTCAATAATAGCCCCCGCCATCGTGGAGGAAAGGTTGGAGTGAAAAATATCACACCGAGCGAGAAACTAACAATAATGTGGTGGAAAAAAAGGGGGAACGAAAACGTTGCATCAACAGCCACTAGGAAGACAAGCTGGGCCCCCTCCACCGCGCTGCTCCTGCCTTTCAACTTCGGAGGAGGAGGAAGAAAAAAAAAAAACAGGAATCACATGACCGAACAGCACTCAGCTTTATCCCCGAACAGCCTGCACAAGAGCGGGGAGAGATGTGTGGAGCGCCACCGCATTGCAATAGAGGCTGGTAATGCAGGTTACCGTGTCATTGAATGCCGGTAATAGCGTGCAGGGGCTATTTAAAGGAAGGTTTTAGAGGTCCTGTGTTATATGTTCAGTTGCTCAATAACCGTCAACACATTGTCCTTCAATGCCGATTCTTGATTGTGTGTGTCATCTGCTAAATAAGCAGAGACATTATTTTAACAGTGTTCTGCAGTTTTAGTTTGACATAGTGCACATATAAAAGTGTTGTTTTACATGTGTGAAAAGAAGAGGAGATTTAGACTTTTTCACAAATAAGTCTCACCACAAGGTCCATTTATTAACAGCTCTGGAGCTCTCTGTCTCTTCACATGATCTTCATTAACACATAGGGATCACCCAGTTGTCATAGAACTGCAGATGTTTACATTGTTCTGAGCATTTAAGACTTCTTCTGGTCCACATTGGTTCAAAAGCTGAGGTTCTGGGAACAGCAGTAGACAAAACAACCTCTCTGCAGGGTCCATTTAGTGGTTGCTTTTTAGCTTTCAGTCAAACGGCATGATCTTCATCCGTAGATTGAGTATGCCCTGTTGGAGATGCACAGTTTGTAGTTTCTATGATTGATCTCCTTATCGTGTATTTTCCCAAATCCCCCAAAAAACTAATTTTGAAAAAGCTGGAGTTGTCTCACCCCAATGAGGTTGTTTTTACATTTCCCTAAAACTGATGATGTTGAGACTGAATATTATTGTAATATTAATATTAATAATATTTTTGGCATGTTTAGATGAACTCTTTGTCTGTATGTGGTAATTCTGTCTCTTTAAAGTCCTTTTAAGTGTGTTTTAATTACACAGGTAAATGATTAAAATGCTCACTTAAACATCCTTTAAAAACTGTTGCCTGGATTGTTTTCTGTCCCTCACAGAATGGATTTAGGTCATCGGGTTTCCACAAATTACACAACGCTCAATGTCTCAATTCACAAATTTCATTGGAGGATATATAAATATCCTGGTTGTATTTCTGGCTGCTGTTTCTTCTCAGAGAAACCGGTGTGTCTGCACAGCTGTGAACTGAGCTTTCATGTCTTCTTCCTACTTAGACAGATGCTCCGAGCTGCACCAACATCCCGTCCTCTCTTCCCGAGAGAGAAACTCAGTGAGAGCTGGCTGATAAACCGTCTGACAGTTTCTGTAGATTGGACTCAGATTATAAATGCTGCTGGTGCACATTCAGGATTAATTGGATTCCTTTACTCACTGAAAATGTGCAGATACAAAACACAGGTTTGAAACACTGGGAGTTTTATTTAAAAGCCATCCATGTGAGCATTTCAGGGTCAAGTAATAAAGAGTGACACACGTACATACCGCTGTACGCCTTTTTAAAATTCACAAGCACAGAATATGATAAAAAAAAAAGCAGCATGCAGCTTCTAGTAAGTGTACAACATTGTAGTACCAATCAACAACACATGTAGACAGAGCATAGTAATGGGATAAACTGTTCATTATGAAACAAAGACTGAAGACAGACAGAAAGGAACGCATGATGGTGTCTTCTGAACAGTGAAAGCTGTGAAAGAGAGGAACCGGCTGTCTAAAATGGCTTCCTTTCCTAATATCCTGTTTATATGAGGGGCTTAGATAAAGAGCGAAGGCGACAAGCTGTTGGATGCAACAGATCAATCAACCACTTCTATCAATTAAAGATAATGTTGCTACAGGAAGCCATGTGACTACCGATGTGAAGCGTTCCTGTTAACAAAGTCCGATGCACTGCACCGTGACCAAGGCATTGAGGCAGCCATTCAACCTGATAACAGTGATAACATTGGTTTTGGCACTTAGGGAATCGGAGTTAAGATAAAAGACAAAATGGCAACAGGAAGTGCTGGGCAGGTAAGGAGTCAGATTGGTAGAGAGAGCCTGGAGGTCTGTGTTCAGAAACGTGCTCGGATTCTGTCCAATGGGTCCGTCTCCCACATCTTGGGATCCCAAGCCTGGAACCAGCCGGTGAAAGTTGGAGGTTCTGCTCCCTGTTTGATGGTGGTGATGGGCAGTCCTCTGCGACCAGACGGGTCTGAGTCCACATACTCTTTTGCTGCACGACAGGAAGTAGACAGAGGAAGGGATGGATAGAAAGACAGACACACACAGGAGACAGGAAGTGAGAACATGTAGAAATCTAACAGAATAACTTTGCAGGACACAGACTTTGGATGGAAACATAAACATTTTTTGCCACTTGGTTGTAAATAGCCTTGTATGCTTATATGTTGAACACATGGAGTAGTGGCCACTTGGCAAATGCAAGTCTGATATTCACTTTCCCTTCAGATCTAACTCCTGAAGGAAATATCTATAACTCTTTAGCTGCTAAATGCTCCACTGTGTTCACCAGCTGGTCACCACTGTGTCTGATGTTTGGTGCTGGTCGGGTAGTGGTTCTTTGAAAGTGCTTTTATTTTGAAAACAGCTTTCAGCTGCAACTAAAATGGGGTTTATGAGAGTGAATCATAGTAAAGTTGTAATAAGCAATAGCCCAATAAACCTAAAGAGGCTAAAAAGCAACATATTATTTGGGTTGGTCACTGCAAGGGTTTTTTTGTTGATTGTTGATATAAAAATATTGATTAGTGCAGCTTTAGAAGAAGAAGAAGAAGAAGATATACTTTATTAATCCCCAAGGGGAATGATGCTGTAGCTGAATGTGCACCTAATGAGATGTAAATAGATTAATACTGCCCCATCATACATACAATCCTGCCATGTATATTCAGTAGGTGTGAAAAGCCCTCATTAGTGTGTCTGTGTTGGATGTACATGGTTAATACTGTGAGAGTTTCCAGATTAGTAAACATATAACAACATATTTGAATAAAAGTACTCTACTGTCCAGGTTTGACGGATCGACAGCCGCATTCACTACTACTCTGATAGTGTGATGTGTCATATTATAGTGCTAGTGCATTTAAATGGCGATCTTAAAGAAATAAACTGTATTTGTACTGTAAAGTGAAGTTGTGACTGATTGCTTTGGGATTCACATTAAACAGTTTATTGTCATTCTGCTGAGGATGTAGGACCCAACAACTATGACTCTATAGTGCTATCTGAAACAAGACAGTATGATCTTGGTGGTATATTGGTTTCTTTGTGTGGGGTTACCTATTTTGGGAGCTCCAGTCCTTTCCTCTGCATTAGCATCGTTACCGACCCAAAGGAAGATCTGCAGGGAAGAGAAAAACACTCACCCAGTTATGCAGAGTTTTAAGAGTATGTATCCATCTATCTCAACTGTGGAGGAAGCACATCTTACCTGGTCCCAGGTATCCAGGAGCATGACATCATCAGTGGCAAGGTCTGACTGAGTGAAGTCTCCTGGTACTTCTTCAACCTGAGAGACAGTGCAGGTCATTTTATATTACAATGTTAACATAACTGTGTTGATAATCCAAATATCACATCTGTAGCATTGACGGGACTTACGACAAGTCTGCCAATTTTGTTGGAGCAGCCGAACAGACGTGGGGGACTGACCACATTCTGCAGACTCTTAGAGGTCTGGTATTCCTTCTTGCCACCAAGAGCAGACCAGAAATCACCTGGGCAAGAAGAAAATACAACAGTCATCAGCTCCAGGTAGCTTGTCCCATATTTGGTGCTTTGTTTGTCTGAACAGGAAGTCAATCACATCCTCCACTGTGACTGATGCAGCTGCTCTTTGGCCCAGTCTGTAACAAGCTGCATCACGTTTCCAAGGTTAATTAAAGCCAGGCCAGAAATGCAGCAGTTATGTCTTATCAGGCCAATCAGTGTAATTAACTTGAACTGCATGGCAACATACAGCATGTAGTAATTAGATTGTGTAACTCATTTACATATAACTTTCAGCTTTAAATTACAGCTCAGCCATTAGGCTAATGAGTATAATGTTCACACAGAGTGAGGATGCACCCTTCCTCTCTAATTGCATAAATCAGACCAGTGTTGTCTACGATATCCCCTAAAATATCACCTTTGACAGATAAATAAAGGAATAAATACTGTATTATATGTATAAATGAGGGATAAGTAAGTAGTAACAACCATTATAACCTAATAATTTGTCCTCTCCCTTGTTATATTACATTAAATTGCCCCTCAGAGAACACCCACCTGGCTCCTTGCCCTCAGAAACCTGGCTGGCAGTGCCACCCAGGTAGCCTACCACATGTTTGGCAGCCTCCATCTCCTCATCACTGGCACCCACGCCCCGCCAGACAAACAGGGCGTTCGGGGATTTCAGCACAAACACGTCGTTGGTGTTCAGATTGGAAGCAGAGGCCTCAACCTGAGGAAACATGTAGACCGGTGAGAGGTAGAAATCAGTTTCCCACAAGGATTTGACAACAACTGAAGTTCATGTACTGGCAGACAGCTCACCTCCACGGCCCGGGTAGCGCGGGAAGAGCTCTGCCGGATGTGGAAGAGGCGAGTGCTGGCGGCCTGCGACTGTCCACCTTTGCGTGACGTTCCTCCGCTGTGGATGATCATAGGTTTGCCCTGGAACAGGCTCATCAGGTGTGCAGGTTCCTGGCCCTGAGTCACTCTCACCTATGTCATTAAAAAAACAGCATGAAGGTTGGTGACTATTCTAGTTTAGAGCATATCCAGTAATATCAAAAGTCTGTGCGTCTAATTAACAGTCAGCCTGTGTGAAGATTTAAAGGACCGTGCCAATATGTTTATAAGTTTTAGCTCTTTGACTATACATTTTGTATACTTTACATCTCTGATGAACAACAGTGAATGCTTTCTATGTTTTAGATTTTCAAATGTATTTTTCCTTTCTTTCCAGCAACCATTGATTCTATTAATTTCTGTTAAAGAGTTGTGTGATCAATCACATTGAAAAGGACATCTGCATGGACTTTGACTTAAATTAAGGCAGACTTGATGTTACCTGTTACACAACTCAGTCAAGTTTCAGAAACCAATGGATGACCAATGAATCAGAGTACATTTACACAGCAGAATAGATCATGAATAAACGTATCTAAGTGTACGTAATATGTAGTAAAGGGGCCTCCATACGGGTAGTTATGGTATTTTAAGGAAAGAAAAAAAGACATGTCTGATACTGTTTGATGTCATCATTATTGGTGAGGGTTTGTTTGGATGCCTGGATCACTCAGAGTATCAACAATTAACAACATATTAAATTAAACTCTACATATGTCAGCAGGACGCAAGGTAGCACTTGTTGGACAACTCAGTTACGACCACAAAGACGTTGTAAATCCTGAAATTATTATGTGGCATGTCAAATTATATCCAATTCAATTTTATTCGTACCAAATCACAAGAGAAGTTATGTTTGGACACTTTTCATATAGAGTAAATCTAGACCGTACTTATAATATTATTTAGGGACACTCAGTAATTCCCACAACAATTATGAATGGAAGTGCAGTAGTTTGAGTAGAGCGGTATCAAATTGAACATTACAGTGATACTGCCCTCTGCTGGTTGTCTGGGGTTGGTTGTTTTTTTATTTTAATCCTATGTAATAATGAGGTTTAATAGATCTGAGAAGCTTAAATAAAACAGCAGCAGCTTTCTACAGCGCTCCTCTTTCTCTTTGAGCTACTAAACTCATCATTTATAACAGTGGTTTCCAACGTTTACTTTAAGAGACCCCTTTTTCTATTATTGAGTAAACTGATGACCACTGACTAAGTCACATTTTTTCTGAATATTTCATATCCTATTCAATACATAACAACAACTGATAAACTGTCAAATCAACCCAAACAGTGAACACAGTAACTGCAGGAAGGAAATTTGTGTGCAAAGAGCAATTTTTTTTGAGTAGATTATATCCAACCTTAAATACAATTTCCTGTCTGAATTATGTTGTTTTTATTATTATTTATAACATCCATACTTGCTTAATAGGCTTCGATTTTGACAAATGCAGTGTTTTCTTTCCCTGACACTCCCAGCTCTTTGGTTGTTTTAACTGCGTACTTTTCTAACGCAGGGCGGGGCTGAGAGTCTCTGTGAATATAGCTTGTGTTCAGGTCTTCAAAGTTTAGATCATAAATGATAATTTAAACTTTCATTTAGTTTTTTGTTTTTATAGAAATTAATGAAATGCTGAGATATATATTTCTTACACCCCTTAATCTAGAAAGCTGTGTAACCCCCTTAAAGCTTTGGCAACACCAAGTTAGGAACCCCTGATTTATAGCACCTAAGAAAACAACTTTATGTACAAAGCTTTGTGAGCTAATTATTAAGAAGGTAAACATAATGATGATGTTAGCTGTAATAGTGAGAGTTGAAGCTGGTGTGCTGGTTCTGGTAAACTGTCTCGTCCTTTCTGCATGTTAGCTGTGCAGCAGAAACTTTAGCAATAGTTTGCAAACCCACAATATGGCTAATGTTAGTTACATTACTTGTGATGTATTGTTCACTTTATATCACGGTATTTGTCATTATATTGGATTTTTCCACCTTTAATGCTCTTGAGTCAAAAAAACAAGTCCAATGTTTGTTTTATCAAATACTGGGGATTACTGTGTGACTGTACAAGAATCTGAACTTGTTTTTATACAGGATGTAAAGATGAGTAGTGTGCCAGTGTCAAGCTCTGACCTGAACCGGGGCTCCTCCCATTGAGTCATCAAGCTTCACAGTGAGGAACGCTGAGGCTGCCAGCTCATCCTGTGTGCACTTCAGCCCCTGCCTGACACAGAAACACACACACAGTCTGTATGTCATTTGCTGGTGTGTATGTGGTCGTACACCGGCTGTGGTGGGGTAATGTTAGCACACACTCTGCACGTAACTCATACAGTATTACACTGTACATACATGTTTGAATGGCTATTTCTTTTTATACTCACCAGGTGTATATGATGTGTTGCTCGCGGCCACCCACTCTGTAGCTGTAGAGGATGAGGTAACAGTCTCCACCATAGAAGTGACCATAGGAGGAGGGATCCACAGGAACCTTCTCACCGTTGTCGACACGCCAAATCTGAAAGCCAGTCTACGATCTGTTTTGCTCAACTTTACCACAATGTTGTATCCATCTGGCTTTTACAAAGCATAACTCAAAACTTGAGTAGGCTTACTCTTACCTGGACCTTGCCTTTGCCATCATCCACCATGCCGTGGTGGGCTGCCATGGCCTTGTTAGAGTGCAGGCTTGAGGCATCAAAGGGCACTTGTTCCACTTTGGCTATGCGGCCAATGGCGTAGCCCTTGCTGGGGCCTGTAGTCTCGTCTTTGTCCCTCCAGTCGCTGAAGAACTGCTTGAAGAGAGTCGTCTCAGCTCCCGCAGGAAGAACTTGGATCTGCGGGTGAAACAGGTCAGGGAGGGATATTAGCCTTTGTTTAATTTTCTTTACCAATTTCCCAACAGAAGGGAAATTTGCACTAATCGCACTAATTATCTGGAAACAAGATGACAGTTTTACCTGTGTCTTATTGGAGTAGCCTTTGTCTTTGATGAACTGCTGACCTGCTGACATTGCTGCTTTACGCTCTGACATGTTTGCCTTGGGACCTGGGTGGAGTCAGATAAGACATGACATGATGAGAAGGCGATTTGTCTCTCCTTTATGCTACTTAGAGAGAGAACTTGTGTAATAAACTACCCAATGAATATGTATAAGTACAGAGGTTAGTGAAGGCAGGCATGTGGTCGGATTGGCAACAGGGCTCGTCCCATTGCGGATGTTTTATTGAATCTCATCACACCTCCAGACTGATCTCGACCAGAATTACTGTAAATTTGTCCGTTCTAGCTCAGCAGTACCAAAACCAAATTGTGTAAATGAATGCAATATCATCACATCCAGAATTTAAAAAAAACATTTGTGTGTGTTTGAACCGGCATGTTTATAATTTTATGCAGTACAAAGGTGAGGGTAGCGAAGAAAGCTTGTTGGGATTTTGTTTTAAATCATTTTCCGCTGTGTTATTAAGTCTGTGATGCGGTCAGCACCTTTCCAGACAAAGATGTTCTTGTCCACCCCATTGTCCAGGATGTAGCACTCCTCAGGAGACAACATGGCCTGTTTGAAGGGACTGGATGGAGCCACGGCAGACACCTTCATCGAACCAGATGCATCAGAGATCTACGAAGCAAAGCGACAGCATCAGCTACCAGCTCTGCTCGTAACATCCTCAAAAGATTTTCATTTGTTACAATATTCAAACTTGTTTTTCCCAAATTATATATACGTATATTTGGTAATTGTAGAAAGTGGTAGTGCAGACTTTATCATATGAGGTATATACATGGACTCGCAGTGTGGAATTTTCTTTAATCAATGCAGCCCTAAAACCTGGGAAATAGTCTAATTTTCATGTCATATTTAGTTATTAATAACTCAATGAACATCTGAAATATTTGGGCATTTTTGTAATTCATGTGGACTGAATCCAGGCTATAATACTTCAATACCACAAGATTGCAGCACTATTTTTTTTCATAATTAAGTAAAATTTCAATCTGTTAGTGAAATATCCCTTTGTAATCTGGGTTATGACATTTTATAATCCACCCAGAAATCTAGGTCACTTATATATAAATTAAGTTTAATTTTCAGTTTTATGACTCACCATGTAGAGGGCACCCTTCTTCCGGTTGGAGGTGTCCACCTTCTCATCATCGGGAGTACTGGGTGCAATGGCGGTCTTTGGCCCCAGAGCCTGTACAACCAGAGGAATCAATTGTTGTGCTTCTTGTTTTTTTGTCATAATTATCACCTGTGCTAACAGTTACAATATTGTTTTTCATATGCAGATAAACACACAACATATTGATAGTGATTTGTTTTTTAAACTGTGTTCTACAGCTTTTCTCAGATTAAAAAACATCTTGATTAATATAAAATATATTCTGTAAACCGACCCCCTCCCACTCTCCCTCATTAGGCCTCTCTCAAGTTTACCCTCCTCTCTAGTTGTAAAGAGAGTTGTCGTGTTTATAATGCCGCCTTGGCACAGAGTTGGCACATTAACAGCACATTACAAAGGACAGCATTGTGTCCACTCGTTCCCACGATGACTAACTCACCAGCCGTGAAATGCATCAATAACATATACAGCTTCTGCTCACAAGTGGTCACCTTTGAGGTGCAAACTTCAGTGTGTGGGTGAGACAGGGAAGGAAATGAGCTCAGGAATGTGTGTGTGTGTGTGTGTGTGTGTGTGTGTGTGTGTGTGTGTGTGTGTGTGTGGGTGGGTGGGTGGGTGTGTGTGTGTGTGTGTGTGGGTGGGTGGGTGGGTGTGTGTGCATGTGCGCGCGTGTGTGTCACCTCTATGACTGCTGCCGGCTCATCCCCCTCCTCCACTATGTGCAGTTTTGCTCTGCCGTTTCTCTCATTATCTCTGATGCCAATGGCGACCTCAGAGGCCTTCAGCCTCTCAAAGCGGTTACACTCGCTGCCACACCACTGATAGACATCCTGCATGAGATGGAAAGACAAGAATTGGATATCAAAGTTATTATGGTATTATAATTAATACTTAAGAGTTCAGTCCTGTTTGATTTGATGACAACTGTGGTTACTGGTGGTAACCGTTTCTGAATATTTGTGTTTACAGTGCAGCCAAACTACTGAACTACTACCAGCTGACTACAAAGAGAGGTAATTACATGATATAAATACATTTAATGGCTATTGCTGTTGACAATAATTAGTATTTGGGGTGGGGTTTGATTCACTACATGTCACATTCACCCATTCACACACATACACTAATGGCTGCCATGACAGGTGCCAGCTGCTCACCAGAAACAGAAACTGTTTAATGTGTTAACTCAGTAAACAAATCTATTACAGTGCAGATAAATGAGAGTATAGTAGGTGAGCTATATGAGTATATGGATATGACATCAAGCTACATAAACCCACACATGCACCCACAGATAATAAAACAGATCAAATCCAGCTCACCTTGCCCAAGTCAACAATGAAGCAGTCTCCCTTGTTGAAGCTGCTCCAGGACATGTCTACCTCTGTTGCTCTGATGGCCCTCCGACCCTTGATGTGCAGCAGGCGCTTCACGTTCATATCATTGGTCACCACATGCTGAAAACCTGAGGCCACGCCCCCTTTCTGTGACAAAATAATAATAATTAAAGTGAGGTAATATTCAGAGAAAACATTCCTAAAATCTCAGCTCCATTTGAAATGTGTACATGAGCACAGTAAAGGGAAAAGAAAGTCACAAATTGTACATCATGTGCACAGTTTTGGTTTACAACCACTATATGTAGGTCACAGTGAGAGGTCTGAGGGAGGATGTGAGGACTCAGATGATTTCATGAGACACAGAGCTCAACATTTGCTGCACAGTGAGGGTGAAATGATTTTTACACAACAAAAAAACCTCGAAGGACAAAAAGCTGTAAACTGTGCTGCCAAATATTGAGTTTAACATGTACTATAAATCACAGCAAAGCCAATAAACCTTGTCAAATGGGGAAAAATGAAACCAACATGATGCCTGCTTCTGGAAACGGGATCATGTCTGTTCTGTGAAACAGTGGTGTACCTGTGAGGCAGGACTGTCTCGTAACGTGCCGTCCTTGGTGAAGCCATTAAACAAAACAGGTATTTACTAGACATGCAAATAAAATGCTGCAAATGAGCAACAGACACACTTTCTGCTGGAGAACAAACAATGTGGCTGCTATGATAGATGATGTTTCATGAGTTATTCAACATGTAGAAACTCAAGCTGTGATCAACCTCAGTCACGTCATGTGAGCAAAAACAAAGAGGGACTTCCTTGTTCTTAAAATGTCTATTGAGGGCTTAGCGTTTACCCACAAAGGCACAGGGTCTTGTTAGAATCTGGAGGAGTGGCTAGGCCTCAAAATGGAAACCACATTCATTTCGTTCATCTTTGTGATTCTCAAGAGAGAGCCAGTCAAATTTTCCATGGCAACAATGCAGGCTCTGTTTATTCTAATGGAAGGATTGTGTCCTTACAGCGGAGTTACCAAAACTATGAAGAGATAATGAGGTTTAGTTCGGCCTCTTGCTCCTTTTCTGTAGAACACTGCAAGTGTGTGTGTGAACTGTTTCTGCACATGTGCAGAACAAAGTTTCCATCCTCCAACTTTGCAAAAGTAGTAAACAAGACTAATTACATCCAACTAAAGCCAGAAGGGGGTTTGGATGGTTTTCCTGGCAATGAGAAACAGATGCCTGGTAAAAACGTTGCCTTGCCTGAGTCTTTCAAAATGCCCTCTTTTGAACAGGGTGGTTTCCTCGGTTACAGTCAGTCAGACACACCCTAGGATGTGTTGTGGGGAATGTTGTGTCTCCTCTGAACTTCAGACTCATTAGCTCAACTGCATGGCAAAGTTCATGGGATGCAGACAATCATTAAACCCTGTAGATATATTTTGGTCAAAGAGAGTTCTGAGACTGTTGCACCATTTTTATGTTTTGTGTCATCATAACTTTCAGTGTTTATGCTGTGAGATATGTACTGTAAGTGCAACCTCTTCCTATATATTTTATAGTGTATATTTAGACCACAGACAGAAAACACAGTACAAACACATTGCTTTAAAGTTAACTTATTCATGCAGTCATTAATCTAGAGCAACAGTCCCCAGCCCTTTTAAACATTAATACACAGACATGTCTACTCATGACCACTCAACTGTGTGCTGTTCATTTGGAAAGAGATTTCCTCTCTCAAATTGATCTAAAGAGGTAAAACTGTGCAATGTTAGTTCTGTGAAGTTCTGCGAGCCTGTACTTACAGCAGGGCTGCGAGCTGAATGCTAAATTCAACACACCCACAATGACAATGCTAACATGCTGGTGTTTAGTGCATACAATGTTCACCATCTTAATCTGGTGCGTTGGTGTGCTAATAAAAGTTACCAAAGTTTATCCTGAAGGGGAAATTAAATCAGGTGGTGACAATGACACTCCACTTATACCTGGTATCAAAATAAGATCTGTGTTTGCCTTTGCGTTTACCCCTGTTATTTTTAATGTGCTCTCATTTGCCTGTCAAACCAGAGCACATTAAAAAGATCAGATCTCTGTCCACCAGAGCAAAACCTGCGCACAAGTAATTTGACAAATTTTAAATTATTTGTAAATTAAATTAATGAAACTCGTAAATTTGGCAAATGTAATACATTTAGTTATTACTTTCAGTTTGTCATGGTGTGTTGCAGTAGGTAGGCTACTCTACACATTTTCTGCTGTACGTCATTCATTTCCCACCTGTATTGCTTTCATTTTTCATGCAGTTCTGTTGAATAACACATCTTTTGGCACTTTTATCGCACAGAATAGATGTATCAATAATTAGAGGCGTGTCTCTTTCAGCCTTCTCACTGGGTCGCTCTCTATATTTGAACTGCAAAAATTTGCTTCTTATTTACTACCCATGAGATCATCTTGCAACCTCTTAGATTCATATCGCAACCCCTGGCCGGGGGCCCGACCCCCGGGCTGGGAACCATTGGTCTAGAGTATTTTCATTCAGGTAGTGACACCACCTGTTTGAAGTTATTCTACAGTGAAGTTCACCTGGTACTTGATTCCCGACTTGAAGTAACCAAGTAGGGTGTTGGATTCGCAATTCTGCACCTCCCTGTACTGCACCGGCCCACCACCCAGGAAGTCATCCAGCTGTGTGGCAAAGATGGCCGCCGCCCCACTCTCATCCTGGGAACACTCGTCCCCTGCAGGAAACAGACACACAGAGTCAAACTGTCTTTTTTCACAGTTATTTTCATAATTACATCACATCAATGCACAAGGATCTGGTTTCTCACAAAAGCTCAAAGTTATTTTACATTAGCAGAGCAAACTGCAGCTCTTTAGTTTCAGCAGGGACCTTATGGGACCTCTGAGTCAGGACTGGAGGCTTTGAATCACATAAACCACATCTGCAGCAGAGGCGTTTTTGTATCCTGCCATTACCGTCAGATGGCACAAAACATGGATAAAACTATTCTATAATTCTGCATGACTAACATCGATCCCAGACAGAGGGATTAATTATATTCTCATGTTATTTCTTCTTCAACTCACAGATGGTTGCAATGGCAGCAGAGAACTAAAGGAACTGTGTCTGTGTGCTGGCACTGGAGGAGAACTGGCATGGAGAACTACAAACATGCAGGGACTGGTGCCTGTCTCTTGTGGCCTGCAGGGGTAATCCAGATGTGAATCATGCAGTGGTTTCTTTTTTGTTATGTAACTGAAAATTTACAGTGCCTGAGAAGACTTTCCCTTCAATTTTGGAGTAGCTAAAGTTGTATGTCATCGTTCGCTCTGTACTGGCCTGAAGTGAGCCTACAATGAGAGCAGAGAGAGAACTGTGTGGTGGAGAGGAATTTCACAACCTGGTCTCACTTTTAGAGAAGAAATATTCAGCGACTCATACGGCAGAGGATGTTTCAGCACTGAGATCAGATACCTAATTTGATCTATACTCCCTTGAAAAACACAGCTAGAGTGAAAATAAAGTTTTAACTGCTTTTGTTAGACAGAATACAAATAGAGTTTTAGTGCCTTTGTTTGGGTGTTTGTATCAGTGGAAGTATCACAATGCATGGATGTTTAACATTGTATCATGTATGTGCATGCATGATATGTATATAGGCTTTGGGGGAACTGACTTTGGTTTGTAACTGACTACAATAAGGAACAACTGTATGTTTTCACACTTTAAGATCCAATACTTTATTGCCATTTAAACAATAGGAATTTTCTTTGGTGAGCTCATATAATACAAAGCAGAAACCTCAGGACATCACATAACCACAAAGAGACAAGTGGTGAAACCGTTAAATGGCAATTGTTAAACAATAAAACCTTGCATAAAATAACAAACATGGACAAAAACAAGGAATAGCATTTAGGGAACATGCTGCAATAAAATGGTTTCGGCTATCAAGTGTGCTGTTGGTTATTTCTCACAAATGCAATGCGAGACTGTTCCTGTTTTGAAAACAGCCTGATAACAGACTTCATAAAGCAAGATAAACAGGAAGACTTAAATTAGCATCATGTAGTTGAGAAATATCGTTCTGAAATAGTTTCAATTTGAAGTAGCTAACAAACTGGATTATTAACATGTTACCCCATACAGAGGTGCACAATATGAGTCCATGTCTTACCCAGCCACATGTGTATGTTGTATGAGGGGGCTGAGGTGGTGAACAGCAGCAGGTAGGCATCCCCAGTGTAGAAGCTGCCATGCAGGGCCTTAGGAACCGGCTTCAGGTCCATGTTCTCGATACGCCACACCTGTAGCCCCGGCTGCTTTCCTGCACCCACAAACTCCTTATGGGAAACCATGATGGCTCTGAGCGAAAGACAGAGATGAGAGACAATGAGATGAAGAAAGAAAGGAAGGTGGAGAAAGACGGAGATGTGATTTCAATATTTTTGCCTTGCAAAACATGGAATCTTGTAAATCCCAACCCACACAGCAAACACTAAACCAACATACTGTGAGGAAGTTGTGTTTTTGCATCAGCCTCATCATGTGTTTCCTAATGCTATTGTACAGTTGTGGGTTTCAGCTGAGAGACTAACCAACAGTGGATATAAATACATGTGTAATCTTAACAAGAGGCCTCTTTACCATATTAGGCCTTTCAGTGTATAGACCTAACCAGACCAACTAGTTTTTCAACCTGTAGTCTCCTATTGCTGCTGCTGTCACATCTGAAAATTACCTTTGATGCATTAATTGTTGGATGATTTTCTTACATTAATTGTATCTGACAATTACTGTTTGTCACTCAAGTTTTCACATGATGGTCTTTCATGGGCAGGGACATTTCTCCTACTTAATGAACCAGTGTCATAAACAATGCTAGAGATACATGGTTCCAGGTTGCTTTGAACCTTGTTCACGTCAAAGTCCAGAATATATGGTCACACATGTCACAGAGAATAAGCTTTTCATAACATCTTTATTTCTGAAAATAAAGCTTATAAAACCAATAAATTGTCTGAAATAAATTGTGTTTTTAACTAAAACCAGACTAATGCAAGAACTTTGAACCATTATCAGTGGATATATAATCAGTAAATAATAAGCCAACAGAGAGATAACCACTGTACACACAGTGAGACGTGCATGACCTAGTTTTTTAACTCACATATTTGATGTTTTAATAGCTGATAGGTAGTGAAAGCAAAACTTAATGTTATTCTATTACAACTGCCTCAATAAATTAATTTATGAACTAAGTGAGCTGCAGTTACACTCTTCAGTATCTCTGAACCTGGAGTTCAGAGATAAAGGAAGTTAGAATAAATAAATAAAAAAAACTTCACAGTAAGAGTGAGCCTTTGCACCACTGAAGTTGGCAGATTATGGAGATTTACGGTTGCCCCCGATTACATAAGAACCAGATTACAAGTCGGTGTGGCAGCAGGATTATTGCTGCAGCAAGGCTGACGTCAACTTTAATGGCCCAGGATATGGCAATGTCCACTTTCTCACTTGTGTTACAGCTTACACTCACACACAGTGCAGGCTGTGGATCATGGCCTGCACTGTAACATCTGCTCATGGTGCACGGTGTATCATTTACAGTAAGATAATAAAAGATTACACTGTACTGTTTGATTAAAAACAATGAGAGCCATACCAACCACACACAAAGCAAACAATCGCACATCATCACCACCACCTGAAGTCATATTATTATTACTGTGTGTTAGCTGAGTGGCATGCAGCTCAGATTACAGCGCAGAGAGAGAGAAAAAACCACCAATGGACTTCCTGTAACTGGCTGATCAATAAATGCTGCATCATGGACAGTTTTCAGATCGCTTAAGAATTATGGGCTTACTAACACTGGTGTGACACAATACTGCAGGTCTGCAGGGATAAATGCAGAGAGGTCTGCTGGGAAGAGCATCTCTAATGAGTGACTTCATCTAATCTGCTGCCTCCACCAGCTTCTGCTGACTGGTCAGACTAGAGGCTGATGGGATGTTTCTCTTATTTATTTAATCGGGAAGTGCATGTAGAAAATAAAGCCATGAAGCCTTCATGTCGATTTAATATTATGAATCCTAATATTTACACAACTCCATCTCTCTCTTTTTTTTCTCTTTTTTTTTTTTAGTATTACATAACATCCAAGCTACTACTTCCTGCACTTCTATCGCAGGTTTTTGCGTTTCATTTCATTCACAAGATAACAACAGACATCAACAGAGTATCTCCTCCATAATAAACAATGCAATTACAGCCTGTGTTACCATAATAAATCGAAACCTCTCCGTTCCCTGTTTTCGGTTCTTTTCACTGGCTGCTGTGACTCATGGCAGAGAAATGAACGGAGACTTTTTCCACATCTGGAAATCAAATCGCCTCAGACTTTACAATCGTGGGCTCAACTGTCCCCATACGAGCACACAAACACAAAAACACAGCGATCATTAAATCTGTTAACGAGAAACCATCTGCGCAACCTTCATCTGAGCAATCCTGCACGGTTTAAAAGAAAGAGATTTATCAAAGTCCGAAAAGTGGCAAAAAGGGTGCATGCATGTGGACTGGAAGAAGTAAACTCACAGTTTGCAAGATGAATCACACAGGAGAGAGGAACAGAAGCGCTGATGTAGGCTGTAGATGGGGGAGTGAGCTGCGAGGGGAGCGTCTTTATGTTTTAATGTGTAGTAGAAGAGGAGGAGGAAGAGGAGGGAGTGTTCAGGCTATTCATGGGTCTGGCTGCAGAAGGGAGTAAGTACTGATTGGTCGACAGTAGCAGCAAAGATAAAGATGCTTCTGACTGTAAGAGGATTTCCTCAAAGATGAGTCTGAACGGTGTTTGGGCTCATTCAGGAACACACTTGGTTTCTAAAAGAGTTTCCTTTCAGTGTTGTGCGACTCCTTCTTATTCGTTCAGGGGCAAAGTTCATGCAGCCCATAATGTCTTCTTGAAGCAGCAGTTGAATCATGAGTGTGTTTGCTTGTCATTTGCTGCAAGGAATCGTGTGACTGAAAGTAATAACAGCAAGGAAGAGGTGCCTCCCTTTAATTTCCTGGAAAAGAGAGCCAACAGGATTTGAAAAAAAATCTCGGAAAAGGTGGCACAAGAGAGCTGATTAGATTAGCCGAGATGTTTGATTTCTAAACCTTCTCCAGCTTCAAAAACCTCCCCTGCAGACAGTAGACACCTCAAATCCCACTAAAAAGGATGCAAAATATTGACTTCAATGACTACTGTCTCATTACACACACACCAAACACATCATTTACTACAGCTCTGCCCTTTGCTACCACTTTATACACAACCTGCAACGCTGCAAATCCCAGTTCAAACCTTAAGGCAAGCCCACACAGGTCCCACTCAGCCTCTACCTACTGTACCGTACTGTTTCTCTCTCTGCAGACAGTGTGTTTATTTACATGTGGACAGGTTCTTCTCCCGGGGGGCGATGAGCGACATGGCTGTTTATACATAAATGTTAGACACGTAAAAGATGACAATGTGTGTACAACCTGCAGAGGCAAAACCCAGGCAGGAGCTTCAACATGAAGCCACTGCTTAAGGCTACAGGTGGTCATTAAATGTAAGAGGCCCTCCTGGTTTTGCTGTCGGTGGATTTTCTAAATACATAGGGTGTGTTATGTTTACAACTTCTCATTATGCTTCCCTTGAATTCAGAATGCTTTCTTGAGAATTCGGCCCATTGAGAATGAGTAGCTCTTCCTGTGTGCCTGACTCTAACATCTCCAGCTGCCCACTTCTGCTTAAATCTGATTCTAATCTGCATGAAGGTGCAGTACATGGGAAAAGAACAATTTGAGGATTCTCATTAAAGCTTCTGTACATTTTGCAGTTTAAAGGGAAGTGGGTTGGGATGATAAACCTTTCTGACTCATTGCATCATGACCATTTTTGCGAAACAGCTGTGAAACCTTCCTAAAGTTATAATTGACCTGAATGAGGAGTCTGTTTGTCCATAATAACAGCACAACACACTGGAGCAGCTTATAGACATGAGCATGAAAGTCCCACTGTTTGTAATTGATTAGATAGAGATGACTCCCAACAGCTGGTCAGTAAGTGAATCCACATCACAACCACAAACATGTGACATTTGCCTGTTTGTGTTGATGTTGATGTGTGTGCGTGCCGCAGTAACCCAAATAGTCAAATAAAATTTGACTGAGCCATCTGAATGGTTCATTGTTGACTCGTCAGAATTGGCAGTTCACTTTCCTCCTTTCATTTTTGCTTGTGATTACTTTTATTTTTTATAAAAACAGACATATTATGTTCACCATGAACTCAGCTGTTTATCTGTGGACAGCGGGACAACACTGGTGCCAGACTGGGGGTCGGGTGAGTCATCAAACAGGATGTGGCATGTAGGCCGAATAGCCGGAGCCCCATTGTCCCACACACTGACAGCTGACTGATGCACATCCTCAGTGACAATACAGACAACCCAAAATGGATTAGATGCTTAAAATCAGAGGCTACACCGTGAGAAGTGACTCTAGAAGCAGAAACGTTCAACCACTCTTCCAGTGAATTATCAGGATGTCAAGTAAAACTTAAATGAGCAAACAACACGTGTCCCTCTGTCACATCTCAGTGTTTGTATGCTTATAACAAACTTAAAGGAGTGGTTCAACATCTTTGGAGATACATTAACTTCGTCCCAACAGTTAGATGAGAAGATTGATTCCAGTTTCTGATCCACGAGTTGCTGGAGCAGCTTATAGGTTAGCATAAAGACTGGACACAGGGGGAAACAGCTCGCCTGTCCAAACCTCATGTGATGGAAAGTCTCCAGGACGTTACTGCACTCAGCTGTGAAATCCCAGTAAAAACATTTTTGATTAAACAAATTAAATATGTTAATGAGTGAGCTTTGGAGGTGCAGGTAGGTGGATTTTGTTACTTTTAGATCTAGCCAGACTGTTTCCCCCTGCTTACAGTATTTGTGCTAAACTCAGCTAAACTAGTAACTGTAATATTATTACTGAAATGTATTAGTAATTAGTTACACTACTAGTTACTGGTTAAAATAATATTGTTACTGCCCAACACTGCTCCTCATCGCATCCAGATCTTCAGCAAGCCCTTCAAATATGATGATGTCAGGATGGGGTCTAATCGCCGAAGACTTCAAAGACTCATCTTTATCGTCAATTAAATATATTTGTTCATTTAAAATAAAGATTATAGTATTTATATTTTATTTTATTCTAAATATTTTCTCTGTGTGTAGCATGAAGGGGCTACAAGTACTACCCTGTGTTGTAAATGACTATGGTTGGGGCAGAAAAATGAGTTATTAGCTTTCTGTTAGACTTAGATTACTGACTGACTGACTGACTTACTTCTTACTTTTTTGGAAACTCAAATATGTCAAAACATTAAAATATCTGGTCAGATTTGTTATTCCCAGTTCTTTAAAAATTATAAATTTAAAAAAGATTTAAAATTAAAATCTATATTTATTCAAAGTTCTTGTTTTTAGACTAAACTTTACATTTGAGATTTCTTTTTAATTGTGTTAAATTAAAAACATGTTCATATTTCTCAAACTCAGGTATCACTTTATTGACATTATTAAAACATTTAAACAATAAGCAGCCACAGCCAGTCGCTGTCAGACAGAAATGTGACTCCAGCAGGTTTGTGCACAATCACTCGCTATCTTGTTGCTTGTTAGAGAAACCTTCCACAGTGAAGACGTGATGAACTGGTTTGGACTTGGAGGGTCAACAGTGTCACAGATGACACTGAGCATGAACTGTGGGGTTCAGTAACCACTGACCACAAGTGTTAGTCAATCCAAACCAGCTACAGACACAGAGGCAAATGTCTAAAACCTTGGGTTGTCATAAAAACAGTAACTAGGATACAAACTCCCACCATTTCTGTATAAAGGCTCAGTTTAACGAGGGAAAGGTCAAAACCAGTGAGCTGCAGCCTGGTGATTGTGGAGAGCTGTGGGAGGAGATAGCAATGACCTTTCATCAATGTCAACCATTAATGGCTGTTCTGTCAATCTGCACAGCCCCTCCCAGTGAAACAACACTGGCCCAACTCCATGAAAACTCCACTGAAAGAGTTTGACCAATTTGTGCTTCAGATACTGCAGATCTCTGCGCCTCCTCTTGAGGAAGAGTTGGCCTCCGGATTGTACAGCATCATGAATTTTTCATCTTATGTTATGACTGCCTGTAAAATGGAAAAGCTGTCCATAAGTAGCTGTGACCTGAGCTGACTTAACACTGGGGCTGCATGTTTCTACTGCACTGTGGAAAGACAAGCACAGACCAGATTTTTTCCCGGGAGCTCCTGCCAGAATTGTCATTAGGTCACGTGGGTGTGTGGGCGGTAAGATAAAGATTGCACAGCTCCTTGGTGACTGGTATAGAAAGGCATTTGTCACTTTAAATGCTCTGAAGTAAGCTGTCAAGGACATGAGTGCAGATAACCTACTGTCCATCAGTCTGACCCCCACGATAAAGACATCTGAGGCAGTTAAATATTACTTTAAAACCAAAATCAAAGAAATTACATTTTGTGAATCACTAAAGTTGATGGAGTTTAATGACTTTAGATGGTGACAACTAAGGTCCAGAAAAAGGGAATCAATCTCTTGAACCTGATGTTAATCTGCCCGGTTGCATTACCTCAGCAAAGCTGCACAACCCACTGAGCCAACATCCTGATGTTACAATGAGCAAACAAGGATCTTGTTGGTTTCATCATAGTATTATCACTTTATTGTACAGTATATCACTCCTGTGGTATATGTGATGAATGCTGCTCGCTATGGCACCGCCAGCTGTGGTTAACTCGCGTGCCAGGCAACCTTTCCGAGTGAACCCCCCCCCACAGCTCAAGTGTGTGTGTGCACCAGTGTGGTTATCATCTGCATGATACAACCCTGGCACACAGTCTAGATTCTAGTATTGCAACTGTTCTCAGTGGTTTGTGCAAACCGTGCAAATAACTTCTACATTCATCATGAAACTGCTACTTCTTCCAAATCAACCAGCAGTCAGTTTACTTTAGTGTTGAAGGATCCTTTACTTAAGACAAAGTAACATCAGAATTTAAAATATTGCAAATACTATTACAAGTACAGATTTTACTTAAAGGAACTGTTAATAGGGAAATGCACTTATTCACTTTCTGGTGGAAAGCTGATTATCTTCGCTTCACACAAAGACTGAAAACAGCTAGCCTGCCAGCACAGCTCCCTGATCAATAAATTATATCTCGTATATTTAATCTATTAAAAAAAGTGTACAAACAACAAATGGCTGTTTTATGGGGGTTTATGTGTTTTTCTATTTCTTTGCCTGGAGCAGTGACTTACTAGTGTCTGAGTTATAAAAGAGAGGGGGTGCCATTTCCCAAAATGTTAAACTATTGCTTTAAAGCAGCTGTAATCCATAATAATAATGTAACAAATGACAAAGCAAAAACAGTGGGACAATGTGAAAGGGGGTCGCTCGTTGTGATGAACGAACAGAGAATTAACAGCAGAATCTGCAGCTCCCCTCGGCTTTCTAGTGTGTTTCAGCTCGTTGTTTATTTGCCTGTTTTGGTTCACTCTTACAGTGTTGTGTTTGGCCGAGTCAGGCAGCAGCTTTCAGTGAAAAAGCTCTAAGAAACCACAGTACACGACCTGCAGACAGACAGTTATAGTTTTTTTACTTTTCATACACATTATTTTGAAAACTGCAGAGATTGTGCATTTATTCTACTTTCTTTTTAATCTATTATCTGTGCACCTTTTACAAAGTCACTGACAGTACGCCTTGAAACAGGCTGGTGTGAGAGCCTCTACCATTTCTATCTACCAGATTTATCTCCAAGACTGTCAGAATGAAAGTTAAACACAAAAATAATCTGCCTGAAATCTCATCAGCTGTTTCCACACAAAAGTGAGAACTGCTATTTTTTGTGCAAAAACATACGTCGATGTCATGCAGACATATTGCAATAAGGAAGTTCCCTGGAGGAAGTAGAGCTCAGCTAAATGGCACGCAACACACCGCTGATTGAACCACATCCTCAAAGTCAAAAGACAAAAGTTTCTTAATATAAAAAAAAGAAAAAGAGAGCAGGGGGACAGAGATGCTCCTAAATGAAAATGATCAGTCACAGCAGCTTGGACCAAAGTCACACAGACCTCCACTACATCACAGTGTAGGACACACAGGTTGGTGTGCAGAAACAAATGATTGCAGTCTCCAATGGCAACACACACCCCCCCCCCCCCCCCACACACACCCCCCCCCCCCACACACACACAAAACACTCACTAGCTATTGAGGCCTGTGGTGCAGAAATGTAAATATGAACAGCCCCCTCCGATGTAGGCAGGAAATCACTCACTGTGACATTTATAGCATTCAACCTGCCTACTGATGGTCTGGAGGCCAAACCAAACACTTTATATGATCTGCAGGAGATGATTAAATATCAGGGCTGGCCTCTCTTCTTACTTTTGGCATATGTGATCCAAGTAATGTTGTAGGCTCTAATCTTAAGAGGGCACAGACCCCACCCTTCCTATTAAACAGCAACTTGGAAAACAAACACTGAATAGAAATACTTTACTATACTAATACTATACTCATTTTCTTTCCTAGGAGAAATGTTATTAACAGTCACATAAAACATCCTGGGTAATCCATCAGTGTGAAAGACAGTTGTCTTACATCTATAAACCTTCATACTGGTGCTTAATCTGATGAGTCTAAAGAGCCTAAAGGAGCAAACCCGTTCTAAAACTCTGTGCAGACCAAACATGTCTGATGTTATGTAAACCACAGGAGAGTGCCAAATCGCATTTAACCAGCTTGAGTCTGTATTAGATTTCAGCCTTTGCAGTCCTGAACCAAAAAATTCTTCTCTGCCAGTTGTTCTGGTAACATGACCCCGCAGTCTTCAACAGCATGGGAACATCCAAACAGATGTTAGTGAAAGCAGAACTTCACATTTCCCTGGAGAATAACTAAAGATCACAGTGCCAGACAAACTACATATGTAAGGAAACGAAAGTACTTGTATAAAAAAACATATTTTATTCACTTTGAAATTGTGTAAAAATATATAAATATTAGTTAGGAAAAGATGAACACATGCTACATTTATACTACGAGACAACATCACAGTAGATGATCTACAGACAGTAATGATCATCTAGACTGATTTTTTCTCTTTTCCTTGACAGACAATACAGCTTGATTTCAATAACAAACACACCAAAGGGACGGACCTAATGAGGGATGTTAATGAATGTACAATTACATGTGGAGTGACACACAGGGATGACACCAATGTAAATGGCTCTTCTCCTCTCTCACGTCTCCTTGGCAACACAACTTCATGTCTCCTTGACGTCCCCCTAAAAAGGGAAAAAGAGAAATGCATCAGTGTCAAAATCCCTGAAAGAAACCCCAACTCATACATGTGTGGTCCATACTGATGCATTGAATCTGTTTTCTCAGTCAGCGTCTTACTATGAGCGATGAGTTCCAACATTCTGTGCACCAATCAACATTTCACTCAGATTGTGGTGTCAGTTTCGGGGTTGTTTGATGAATAATGACTTAGTATGTTTCTTTTAAAAAAAAAAAAAAGAAAACTTAAACCACATTTTTAAGAAAATTTTATCATGAATGAGTAAAACTATTTGGCCGCAGCAGTGACTGACTGTTCTGACACGTGGGTTGGTAAACTGCATGAGTTTGTGAACGCAGATGCTAACAAAGCTGCACCTCTCCTGTCTTATTAGAAAAGAGCAGTGAACAAAACACTCAGCTAATCGTTAATGGCTAAACTTTCAGCAGTTAAAGGACCAGCGTTTAGGTTTCAGTGGCATGTAGTGGAGAAGTTGCAGATTTCAACCATTTGAATGCAGCTAAGCCTTCCAAACGTGTAGGAGAAACTACGGTGGCCTGCAAAACCCGTGAAAAACACGAAAGGCCCTATCTACAGCCATGTTTGGTTTGTCTGTTCTGGGCTACTGTAGAAACATGGCGGTTCAACCTGGTGGACCCACTCCCTCTGTAGATAATAAAGAATACTTATGAATATTATATTCCATTTCTGCCAAAAGATCCTCCTAAATGTTACACACTGGACCTTTAAAATAACAAACATCCCAGGCAGCAGTTCATATCAACTGTCACTGATTAAAGTTAATGCCGTGTGTAACTTGATGGCAGGTCATAAAGTGTGACTGTAGTCTCTTTGTGGTTACTTGTTATTAATTATTATTATTATTATTATTATTATTATTATTATTAGCTATTAATGCTATTCAGTCTTTAAAATTAATAAAATAAAAAGGTGAAGTGACAATATTTAGATGCTGCATGTTTTTGTTTAGTTTAACATTCATACAACAGACCACCACCAAAGTGGTAACTGAATACGGTTTAACACCGTGTCTGTGCTCTGCCAAAGATCTATATGTGCCGATACCGAGTCCTGATCCGATACTTGTATTATTTCTTTGATAATACAGTACACACTTCTAGTACATTAAAGTTGTTGAAATCAATCCAATGTATATGTTTGACGATTAAAAAGCTCTGTATTGCATCAAGAACAAAAAAGCTGTTCCTTAATGTTTTGTTGTGTTGTCATAATAAAGTCTAAAAATACACCCTGTCTGTAATCTTCCTGGCCTCGCTGCTGTCCAGAGGGAGTTTCTCTCTCCAGTGTTTGATGCTTTGGGGGAAAGCCTTTGCCTGAATGTCTGTGTTCTGCTGAGTGTTTATTTTCGTTGTCTCTTGATGAGTCATTTAGTCAATAACTGTCAGATACAATCATATAAAAAACAGAAATGCAGCAAATCCTCATTAAACTAAAGGTTGCTTAAAACGATTGAAACTATTGACGATCAAAACATTTGCAGATGAACTTCCTGTAAATTGACTAATTAATGAACTGACTGATCATTATATATAAATATATATATCAGACGGGAGTGGGAATGTTACCTGGAGTGGGAGGCTACGTCTGGTGTCCGATAGCCCTGTGGTGCTCCATAAGGAAGGGTCCTCTTGCATGGCTAACGTCTGATTAACAAACCTCAGCATCCCTGTGAGTGAACTCATATCCACCTCCTCCTCCTCCTCGTGACCTACCAGGGTGCACACAGACTCCCTCCTCGACTCACTCATCCGCTCATCGTCTCCCTCCTGCATCGAGGTAGCTTCCATGTTGAGGGTTCTGCCATTTTCCTTGTCCACCATGTATGTGAGGGGGTTGAAGGAAAGATCAGAGGTTGCTGTGGCCTCCATGGAGCTGAGGCCCTGCCAGCAGTCGTCCACTGTGTCCGAGAAAGAGGAGATGGAGGGGGAGGAGGACTCCCAAGGCTGCTTGCTCAAGGCCTCCCTTAGTGTGACTTTGAGGCTCAGAGGGAGGTCCAGGGAGGAGTGGATACTGCTGCTCTGCACCCAATCGCACGTTCTTTGACTCTCGGTTTGGTTTGACAGCTGAGGGGCTGAGGTGGGCTGATAGTATGTGTGAGCAGGGGGTGATGAGCAAGCTCGTGTGTGTGTTGGGGAGAGGAGGTGAGTTGAGTGAGCGTGGTCAGAAGAGGGGATAGCTGTCTGAGGTTTATTGGGGGACGAAGGAGGGGAGTGGGCGGAGGAGTAGCGCTCTGGGGAGTGTGTGAACTGTTGCTGAGCAGGGAGGGAGAGTGTGTGATTGTACAGATGCTGGCGGTCAGCAGCTCGCTCCAGACTGGAGATCCTGGCTTGGAGACGGGTCACCTCAGACTCCTGCAGGAGGACAAGAAATATTGAAGGAAATTCACTGATACGCTTCCCTAATGCAGCTTTTATCTCACACACACACACACACACACACACACACACACACACACACACACACACACACACACACACACACACACACACACACACACACACACACACACACACACACACACACACACACACACACACACACACACACACACACACACACACACACACACACACACACCTTGATGAGCAGGGACTCGTTGGAGGTCTCCATGGACTTCTCAGAGGCCTGGAGCTGAGTCTGGAGCTGGGTGGCCTGAACTCTGGCTTCATTTAACTGGGCACTGAGCTGTTCCAGCTGAGTATGCAGGTGGCTGTTCTGGGCTTTGGTCTGCTCATACAGATTCCTGCTTTGCTCCAGCTGGGTTTTACTCTGAAGGAGCTGGGTCTGAGTCTGGTGTCTCTGCGTTTGCAGGTGACCGACTTGTTTCCGGGTGCGATCCAGCTCAGTCTTAGTTTGGTCCAGCTGTGCCATAGCCTGCTCAAGCTGGTTCTGGCTCTGCTGAAGTTTAGCAGCGAGCTGCTCCTGGGAAGAGCGCATGGTGGAGGAGATCTGCTCAGAGACTTTGAGGAGCTGGCCTCGAGTCTGCTGCAGGGACTCCAGCTGGGGAGGGAAAACAGACTAGATGAGACTAGTTGGGTTGTTACGAGCTGATATGCAGCTTGATATGCTGCTCTGATAAGAACATGATCCACCTCCTTTTGATGTGATCAAGTAAGCCCAAAGGTTGTATCACAACAAAGAAATAAACAATTTGAGAATTAAGGAATTGAGACGTTATCAGCTGCGGGTGGGAGAGATAAAGAACAGATAGTGAAGACAGTAAAACAATAAGGAACTCACAGAGAGAAATCAGACAGGACTCTGGTCTTTCCCTCTTGGTGTCAGTTTCTGAGACCTGCAGCATCAGTTTCCCTCTCATTGATGTTTTCTAATCTACAAATCTACTTTACGGACTTCCAAACTGAAACTTGACCTGTTTGGTAGATTGATTTAGTGCGTTAGATGGAAGAAGGTGACACCTGTCTTGAAGACTCAGTAGTTACTGTACCTCCTTGCTGTGCTGCTCCCTCTCCAGCTCCAGCTCCTGCTCTAAAGAGGTGACCGTGCTCTGCAGCTCAGCCTCCAACTGCAGCCAGCACGCCTCCTTCAGAGCCAGCTCCTCCTCCATGTCACACAGCTGGACCTCCTTCAAAGACACACACACATACACCATGAGCAAATAAGTGGTAGTAGTAGTGAAGCAGAAAAATGTCCACCATGAACACATTGAACACACAAAGCATCCTGCCCATGGTGTGAGATGTTTCCTGTTGTTTCTAATGAAGTCTAACTTATCCTACATACATCTCTAGAATAAAAGGGCAGAATGCTGAAACAAGTCGTAGTGTTTCATAACAGATGATGATTAAATAATAACCTTACCTTCTCTTTGGTGTGCTGCTTGGTGGCGTCCAGCTCTCTGGTCAGAGCCTCACAGCGACATTGAGTTTCTTCAAGCTCTTGCAGTACAGTCTGGAGTTTCTGCTGACAGGCACGCAGCTGCTGGCCGAGCTCCTGCGACTCCTGACACCACAAACACATATACACGCACATATATCAGCATACAGTTCAATGATCTACATTATAACACATATCATTTCAGGTAAGTGTCTTAACTCATTTATTAATTCTAGCAAATGCTCTGAATAAAATAAGAACATCTCTTTAGCCTCTAGGCAATTTGCTGCACTGGTTTTGAATGCACATTTCCAAACCTGCTTATATGACACCAGATAATGATACTGATTAGATTCAAATTATAGGAAAAATTAGGGGAAATAATTTTTTCACAGACATTTTTTTTACCCAAGTGCAAACATTTATACACCCTTTGTATCTTCAGGACAATCAGGACTCAACTGTGATAGTGTTTGATTAACATTTTATAGTGTGTGCTCCTCAGATCTCATATTACAGCTGACAACAACCAGGGGCAGAATGATAAATGTCTACATTTACATATTCTACCTTAATGGACAAATCCCCACAATTTTGCTTTTACTTTAAGTGCATGTACTTTGAACAGTGTTTTGGTCGGAGATGTTATGCTCTAGTGCGACATCTAGTACCAGTGAATTTAGTAGGTGCTTAACAATCTGCACAGCATACACTCTCTGTCCTCAGACCCTTGATTTGGGTAAGAAAAAACTCCCACCAAAACCCTCTAACAAAAAAAAAAAAAGGAAAAAAGGAGTAAACCTCAGGAAGAGCAGCAGAGGACGGCTCCCTTTCTAGATCAAGTATATATACAAATTATAATAACAAAAATACAAACATAGTGTTTGTAGATTGTAAAAAAAAAATGAAAAGTGTGGATCCAGGAGGACACGAACACTGCACTTTTTTTTACAGTAAAAGTTGCTTTCAGCAGCTTTGTGAAAAGCTCGACTATGAAACTGCAGAAGCACTTTAAGACACTCCCACAGTAATAGTAAGATAATCAGTGAAAATGGCCCCACATAAATTGGATAATGGAGATTGTGAGGATAAAAAGATGGAGGGTAATGTGAGTGTGGTGTCTTTTCTTACTCTGTATGTTGTGAAGAAAGATGAAGGTAATATTTGAATACATTGTATATTTCAAAATGTTTGAAAATGAGCTTTGTCAATAAAGATATTTTACTTTTGTTGTCATTTATTTTGAAATTTTATAGATTTTTATTATTTAACATTTATGATTATGTTGTTTTCTCAGTGGTTCCTTGCAATGTCTGTGACGGTCGAGATGACTCAAAGTGACACGTGAAAACATGTTCTAATATGTTCTCACATGTTTGGCCCTCTTATTCTGTGACTGCTCCTGACCTTCATGTTTTTGTCTGTGAGCTCCCTCTGTGTGTCTCTCAGCTCTCTCTCTCTGGCTTCCAGGCTCTGCTGCAGAGACTCCACCTTCCTCTCCATCTCCTGCTTGTGCTCTCTGATGGCCACTTCCAGCTGGCCCAGCTGAGGACAATGGAAACGGCAGTCGGGGAAGAAAAAAAAGGAAATTTAAAATGTGAAGAGAGACAGCAGTAAAACATATTCTGCAAATTAAATGAAATAAACTAAAACATCTGTTTGTGAGAGTTGTACCAGAGTCGCTCTCTGTTGGAGCTCCTCCTGTCTTTCCTTCAATGCATTGTCCATGTCTAAGACCTCGTGAGTTCTCTCCTCCAACTCCCTCTGGGTCTCACTGCAAAACAACATACACACACACACACACACACAGACACACACACACACACACACACACAGACACACACACACACAGACACACACTTTTATTGAATAGTTTATCAGATACCCATCTATTGAATTCATTTTTTTTTTAAATCTAAATAAAAAAAGGAACTGGGAGTATCCTTTGTGTGATTATTGTAGGGGCCATAATACAGGCAGGGAACATGATTTGATGACTTTCTATGAGTTTATTGTTGAACATTTTTAGATTGACCTTTAGTTTGAGTACTTGCAACGTGCCTAAGGGTGTAACTCAGTTCAGTGCCATTTTTGTGTGTAAACACCACTTCAACCTAGATCTTGACAACTGCTGTTGAACTTTTTTAAACATCCGTATGTCCGCACTAATGCCTGTGTTCATTGTGGTCTAAAAAGACAATAACAGCAAAGAAAACTTGACTGGAATGGTTGGAGCGACTAATGGTTAATGAACTAAAAACATGCAGAATGCTGATTTTTTTCCTTTATGTTTAAAATAGTTACAAATATTACATCACCAAACAGAGCATGTGTAAATTAGTCACACATTAGTCAAGAAAACAATGACACATTACACAAGTTCCACCTAAATAATAGGAAAAAACCTTCATATACATATTATTACAGGATTTCCTCAGTAAAAATGCACACATTCACAGTCATAATTTCATTTGACAACAAAGATTAGCCACAACTAGAGAACACACAGTGTGAGACTTGAAGTGGGACACTGGAACAATAACAGGCTCCATGACTGTGTGTGTGTGTGTGTGTGTGTGTGTGTGTGTGTGTGTGTGTGTGTGTGTGTGTGTGTGTGTGTGTGTGTGTGTGTGTGTGTGTGTGTGTGTGTGTTGGTGTGTTTGTGAAACACATGTACAATGTGGATATTGTTTCAAACAGAGATGAGTCCAATACAGCGGAGGATCTCTTATCTGAGCAACACCATGTGGATGTTGTCTCTATCTGGGTCTTGTCTCTTGTCCCTGTGTGCAGAAGGATATTTCACATGAGGGCGTGTCCTCACCTAAGTTGAACATTCAGTTTTTCCACCGAGGCTTGCCGTTCGTCTGCGATGGTCTGGGTTCTTTGCAGAACATCTCTCAGTTTCTGTAGTTGCTCCAGAGTGTCAGACAACTCTCCCCGCACCGCCTGAAGCTGTTTCTCCATGATCTGGACCTGCTGGACGCAGTTGAGCTTGTCGGCTTCACAGCGATGGAGCGTCTCTTCCAGATCCACCACTGGGAGGGACAAGATGGAGAATAAAACAAAAAGTTAAGAGAAGGAGAGCAAGTGATGTTTGTTACCGTCTCTTTTCTGCAAAAAATAAATAAAAAAGAAAACAGAAACTGTGCAACATACCCATGTCAGTCTTGCTGTCGAGCTGGCTCTTCAAGTGTTGCAGGCTTGCCTCCATGCGGCTGATCTGAGCAGTCTTGACGGCAACCTCCCTCCTCAGACGCTGCAGCTCCGACTCTTTAGACACCAGCTCCATTCGACACTTTGTCATCTCTGATGTCAGATGGCTGCAGAAGGCACAAGGAGAAAAACAAAAAAAACAGTCAGCATATTTGAACAACAATTAAAAGTCTTAAATGAACCAAATATGTTTTTAAACAATGTGCTGCAATAAAGGGAAGACATGCTTCAGAAAAAAAGCATTAAGCAGTGTATACATTGCATTATTTATCATTTGAGTGGCTCGGGACATGCAACATGTCCATTTCCTCACCTCAATGTGAGCACTGCTCCCATCGTAGACTTAGAAGGAAAACTCTCCAGAACTGTTAAGAGTAGCTAAACTGAGCTAAGCATACGTGCCTTTTGACAGCACATCTAAAACAACCAACTTGCTTTTGCTTTGGAGCTTTGAAAATGTCACAAAAATTAAACTAATCAGCAGCATTTACAGATGCACATCTGGCTTCTATCTCCCAGTCTCAAACAAGTAAGATCTCCTTTTATATACACATATTCGTGGATCCTAGGGGAGGGGAGGGGAGTGGAGGGGAAGGGAAGGGAAGGGAGGGGATGGGAGGGCTGCTTCATGACTACAGACAAATGGGAAGTGGTGGAATCACAAGACAAATCACTGCCGTTGCTGCAGGTCAAGAACAACAGTATATTTCTTGGCCTGCTTTGTCTTTGAAAATAACCACCAACAATAAGCCCATTCAAATGTCATTAAATAGTTGCAACAGTGAATCATGGTAAACTACAAAACTGCAAAATATTGTCATATTGCCATAAAAAAAACCCTTACCAATGTCATTTAAAAATATCTGGCACTGAATGTAATATTTTGAATGATTCTGTCACAGCACAGGTGACACAATTTTCCTTTGCTCCTCAGAGTCTACATGAGCAGCCGTTTGTGTGCAGTGTTCTTACCTGACAGACTCAGAGAGTTGTGTGTTCTGCTGCTTTAACTTCTGCAGGTCCTTGTCTTTCTCCTGAACGTCCTGCTCTCTGTTCCTTACCTCATCCTGCAGAGAGGCCCGGGTGCGTTCCAGCTCCTGCTCCAGACTGGATACCTACACACAGACACAACATCAGCATCCATCTTTATTTATTTATTTATTTACTTACTTACAACAACATAAAACAAACATCAATTTCATGCACATGCACTCTATTCTAAAGCACAAAACTAGAGACCTGACCTACAACTCAAACCAATAAAAGAACATCTTCCTGACAGTTTATCCCTACAGGCAATCTGATCAGACCTTTATGTACAATACAAAGAAGCTCCATGTTACTGTCCCTGTACAGCTCTGCTCGCCGAATGGGGACAATTGTGCTCTGTTTGTTGTGAAGGACAGAAAGTACAACCAGCTGCTAAAATGTGCTGAATTATAAATGAAATCACAAGCTCAAACTGCTGTTTCCCTCAAGCAATGATGTAGATTTACCACAACTTTGTAATATGTACAGGGTCAGTCAGATTGCATATCTGCATATTAAGAATACAACCACACTTGGGCGCCCAGTTAGCTTAGCCGGTAGAGCTGGCGACCCATGTACAGAGGCTGAGTCCTTGCTGCAGCGGCCCAGGGTTTGAATCAAGTTTATCTTCTGTTCTTTACAAGTCATCCTGTCAATCAGTTCTAAAAACATTTCAAAACAATTGCCACATAAACCCCAGTAAACCTGACTTATAAGACACTTCAATGCCAAAAGCAGACAAAGCTTCTGGAAATGTCTCAGAGTTCACTCAATCATTATCAAACAGAAACACACATATCAAAACTTATTGGAAGGAGATATAAATTGATTATGCGAACACTGTGACTGAGGCTCAGAAAAAACTTGGCATTGCGGGCGCCCAGATAGCTCAGTGGGTAGAGCTGGCGACCCATCTACCGAGGCTGAGTCCTTGCTGCATCCCCTCTCTCTGCCCCCCTTTCCTGTCTATCTTCAGCTGTCACTACAATGGGGGGTACACACAGGGCTTCCTGTAGGGACACCTGCATTATTACCAAATCAAGGCCTTGTGGTGTAGAGGGGCCTCAAGTTAAAATCTACTTTTTATCTATTTTATCTATACTGTGCTTATATGGTGTATTTTCCTAGATGAATGCATACATTGTACAATTACCACAAACAAATTACTAACTAATACACAATTCACAGAAAGTGGGATAAGCATCAATAGCGACCCACAGTTCCTTTTTTAAAATATGACTCAAACACACATCACATGACCACACGTATCTTTAGTAATTAATACCATTAGATATCTATTCTTGTCTATTTTTTGCTTTGGCAACAAAAACATCTGTATTTGCAAATAAAGTTTATTTCAATTGAATTAAAGTTAATTTCTTTATTTCTTTTTGTACACTAAATATTATGGATACATTTTATGTCCATTTTCTTGTTAATCTGGTATTTGAAAACCTTTTAAACTGTCTCTAACTTACCCGTGTCTGCAGCTGGCTCTGACTCTCCTCCAGTTCAGAGATGTGAGCAGTGCTCTCAGTCAGCATTGTCTGCTGCTGATGGAGAGAAAGCTGCAGCTGTAAGTTCTGCTCGCTGGAGCTCTGACCGACCAGGGTGGCACTGTGGAGCTTCTCCTGCAGAGAGGACACCTGAGGAGAAAGAAACAGATAAGATAAGCCTCGGAAGTGGGCTATGCATAAACAACAAAGGGACAATCATCTTGTCTTATTGTATGTAACACTGTACTTGGTCATTCTTCTTCTGCAGCTCGCTCTGATAGTTCTTCTCTACCTCCTCAATCTGCTGCAGGTACACGTTCAGCTCCTCTCTGCACGCTGACAGAGACGACTGCAGTTCACACACCTGATGTGCAAACAGAAGTCATGGATGGTTCATACAATTGTTTATGGTGAATTCTGCCAGATGTTTTTGTAGAGTTATTTGTGTTTGTCTATGGTAACCAGCTCTTTGTACAAACCTTGGTGGCAGACTGCGCCGCCTGCTCTTTGAAACTCTGCAGCAACTCCTCACTGTGTCTTGCTTCATCCTGCTTTTGCTGAAATTAAATCAGTTGTTGTACCTTTAACTTAAAGGGGAACTTGGCAACTCTAGCCATTTCTTCGCTGGTTTTCACTTTTGTCGTCGCATGTTTTCTCAACGATCTCCCCCTACAGCTCTGGGACGCATATTTCAAAACACTGTCATAAAAAAACTCACTTGCGGCACCCTCCTCCCCCTTTCTACCGCTGCTGATGTGCATTTGTTGCCGGGCAACTTCTTCGTGTGGAGCAATGTCTACCGAAATGGGTAATACATTCATCGTCGCTTGTTCTTATAGCCGGCGTAGCTAACCAGTATTGAGGGGGGCATGTGCGTTTATGTGGAATTGCCGTAAAGCAGTTCGTGTTTCTCGCTCGTTCTCACTTCTCACGATACTTCCTATTTCCAACTTAACGGGACGGTAGTCCCAAAGTTGCAAGCTTGGTTTTCTGCCTGGAGACGCTAGGGGGAGCGGGGACAGTCACCATTAACACCAGAACAGGCCATTTAACCATCCAAATGATTTCTAAACGGGTTTATTAAGTTGAAAAAGTTGCCAAATTCCCCTTTAAGTGGCTGCTGTACTTTACACAGTAAAGGTAAAACAAAAAAATGCACATATACGGTCCTACATACTGTCCTGACCTCTGTGAGTTGGTCCACAGAGTTCTGCAGCAGGAGAGCCTCTTTCTGAGCCTCGTCTCGCTCCCTCTGGAGTGAGCTCAGCTCCTGCTCCATCTCCAACAGCTGAGACTGAGCCTCCTCCAAAGACAACTGCAACTGCAGAGGAGAGACGGTTTCTTACTACAGGCAACATCAATTCTGCTCTTTTAAATATATGGTCACAGCCAGTGTTAAATGTAAATGAACTTAAATTATACTGGACATAAATTACTTTTTGAGGTTGGTTTAACAGAGTTGAAATGAACTACAACAGGGAGGTGTGGAAGAATTACAGTGTGGAGGTTCAGTGGAGAGAAAGACAAAGATGTAGTTGTAGATCACCATTTCTATTCTGTGCTGTTGCTCTGTGAATTGCTGAGACTGAGATTTTTTACACTTCTCCAAAGACTGCTGGTACTCTCTTTGCTTTTTGGTCAACAGTGACTGGTAATGCTGAATGGTGCTGTTATTCTCCTGTAGGAAAATTAGAAAAAGGAAAACATAAAATAAAAAAAGGGATGCTATAAGGAGTGTAAATGGAGGACAAAACACAAAGCTTTCACAAAAAACATGACAAACGTGTGTGTGTGTGTGTGTGTGTTTTACCAGTAGCTGATTCTCCAGCTCAGTGTTTGTCAGTGCAGAACGGCTGTAGGCTGAGGTTTTCTCCTGTAACTGTTTCTCCAGCGAAGCCACACGTGCAACTTTTCTTTTCAACTGAAGTGAAACAGAGATGCAAAACAAGTGCAACAATCTGTAAGAACCAATAATTAGCTCTCAAGCTCTGTCAAATATCGTTTATACCACACCAAATATATTTAAAAACTCAAAGTATATATCCTCACTTTTAATGACTGAGAAACATACCCATGATCAATATTCTGATTTTCATTTGAGCAGATTGCTTCAACCAATAAGACAGTTGAGTTCAAAGAAGGAAAGAAAGAGAGATTAAGAAAGGGGAAGTCGGAAGAAAACATCAGAAAAGGGACCTCTTTTTCTGTGTCAGTGGCTTGGCTGACTTTGTCCAGCAGCTCTGTGTGGAGGCTCTGGTAGTGGGAGGCTCTCTGGGCCATGGAGCTCTGCAGGGAAGAGATCTCCTCCTGGGCTCTGGTCAGTCGTTCCTGCAGTCGCTCCACCAGGCTGTTCTGTTTGGTCTGCTGAGCCTCGATCGACTGAAGCACTCGCAGCAGCTGTTGGTAGCCTTCACCTGCAAGGGTTGAGCAACGGGGAAAGAAAGGACAGGAATGCTTCTACTTTTTTAAATCATAGATAAGGGAAAAGCATATGGCACCTGCCCTCTGATATAACTTTTTCTACTTTGCTGTGTAATGAACTAAATTACCACAAACGTACCTAAATGATGTTGCATTACATTTATTGTAAATAATTTGGTCCCACATTTATGTTTGCCTATTGGACTGAGACACCTAAAGCACAAGAAAGGATGCAGAATGAGTTCCTAACTATATTAAGTTTCATCAATCCCAAAAAAAGAAAGATAGGTAGGAAAATTGTGTATAAAAATAATATACATATAAACGGTTACATATAGATAACCCAGGGTGTAATAATGAAGGGGTGAGGTTGATTATAATGAGGTTTGTCAACATACCTGGCTTTAGCTTCAGTAGGTGTGCTGTTCCTGAAAGGTCCATATGGGGTAGCATGCAGGGCCTGACACACAGCTGCCCCACAGCACCCTGAAATAAAATAACATATGACAACAGTAAACACAACTTGCTTTAGACAGACAGTTACTGTCCATCAGACCTGGGCAAACAAATGATGTAACAATCCCTTTGGTCACACATTGTGGGAGACTTAAAACCATGTGACATGGGGATATAAACGACAATGTGACTGTGTGTGTGTGTGTGTGTGTGTACACATTATATATATATATATATATATATATATATATATATCCACCTCTCGTAGATGCAGCAGGGCCAGTATGGCCTCCAGGCTGGCCAGCTCCGCCTGGCTCTGTTGAGCCTCTCTGTTACTCTGGGCCACCCTCTGCTCCTGGTTCTGGGTCAGAGTTCGGACATCTTCCAGCTTTTTGCGCAGAGAGTCCAGCTCCCTGCATTCTGCTCCCCGCTCCATAAGCTGCCGTTCCATATGTAAGGCCGTTTGTGTGGTCTCCTCCAGCTGAGCTTGGAGGCCAGTAGCTGCAGATTTGGCCTGCCTCACCTCCTCCTTCAGCTGGCTGGGAGGCAGACGACACCAGAAGGGAGGCAGGGGGAAGATCAGGGATAAAAATGTATTGATGTGATTGATAATGATAAAATTAGAAATCCTCCAATTTATTTCTGTTTCTACCTACAAACATTAACAAACCAACATAAACAATGATATAAGACAATCTCATGTGCGTACCTAATTGTTTGGCTCTGTTCTTCCTTATCTCTCTCCAGCACAGTGCACTTCAATTCCAACTCCTCTTTTTCTCTGTCACACTCAATAAGACTCTCTTTTAGTCTGCTCTCACTCTCCATCACCTTAAAAACACAAATGCTTTAAATAAGTTATTCAAAATAGATATATATTTAAATAATGAAATTATTCAAATTAATAAACTTTACCCTGTTAAGTTTAATGGAAATGGTAGCCTTATAATCTTTGAAGGCTTCTTTGAGTTTCTCTGCATTTTGAAGTGCTTGGTTCCTTTGTTGCTCCGCCCTGTAAGAGATGAGGTAGTACGTAAGTACTGAAAAATAACTCAATTGTGTTGTGAGTAAATTAGACATGGAATATCTTCTTGTTTCAATTTGAAGCCCAAGGTAACAAACACAATTATAAGACAAAGACATTGGAGATGTAATAAACTGTACTGTAATGAAATACAGTTGTGTGGGGAAGTCAAGCCCAGACAAAGCTATCACCGTTTGCCTAGTGCTGTCTTGGTGTCCAGATCTTCTCTGAGTGTGCTCAGCTGCTCACTGAGAGCCGCCACAACAATCTCACTGTGAGCTGCTGCTTCCTGGCTACACTCTGCCCTCAGTTCTGCTGCCCTGGGAAACACAGACAAGGACAGGTTGTTAGGGATATTAATGCTAGGTTCAGTTAGAGGTTAGTGTAACAGTTTCAAGAAAAAGAAAAAAAAGCAACTATCAAGCCTCCTCAGTAGGAGTCCTAGTATCATGAATGACTGGCCGTGCCCCAAGGCACATTATATATATACACTGGATACTGAATCGGTGTGAAGAGGATTCAAATAGGCATGTAATTGCACACATTACAATTACATAAACAGTGACATCTTCAGAAGTATAAGATGAGGTCACAAGGTTACTTTAGTGCCTTTGGCTTGAGCCTCCAGCTCTGCTTGAAGCTGACGAATCTGCTCACTCATGACTGCTACATTGTTTTTAACTCCAACCTTTGGGCCCCTGAAGCTGGCCTGAAAAAGAAAACACACACACACACACACACACACACACACACACACACACACACACAACATATGTACCCAATACAGTTTTGGTTGGTTTATGTCATAGATTTGTATTATTTATTATCATTATTTTATTATTGTTGACATTTGAAGTAACAAAAAAAAAAAAAACTCAACTAAACACTGAAACAAAGAACACTGACTTCACACTACACTCATTTGCAGCACACAAAGATGCAGTGTTTAAAGATTACAGCAACTTTATCTACACAAATTATCCCCTACACAACATGATGTGTAGGGGATGCTTGTCATACCTGCGATTTGAAAGTGGCCAGCTCATACTGCATAGCATCAAGGTCCCTGATGAGCTGCTCATCCTGTATGGTCAGACAGGCGTTCTCTTGACGCACAGAGCCCACCTTCTTCCTTGAAGAAACCGACTCCATCTCTACTGACCTGGCTTTGGCTGAGGCGGACTGAGCAGGAGGGTAGAAAACAGGTGTGGATGAGAGGTGTGTGTTTATCATGAGGGGTTTACTCCACTAATTTACCTTTTAGATATGATGTTATTCTGGCCTTTTCTATTACCAAGTATCTTGCATTAGACTTATTTGTATTACATGTACAGCTCATTTTCCCTAAAAAACACAGATTGCTGACAGACATTTACATACTTAAAAACTGTATCTGTTATCTATACATGCACAACAATATGCAGCTTTAGACAAAGTGATGTATCTGACTGGTTGTCGCACAATCTTGCCTCTCACCCCACAGTTGGAAGAGGGTGGACTTAAACTACCAGCAACAGCGCGTCTCTCAGCCGTCCCACTGAGAGGCCTCTCCTGACAAACACAGCCCGACAGGGATGGAGGACCATCAGGTCTCTGCAGGTCTTGTATGGTCAGGCGATCAGGACCCGTCTGCTCATACTCAACCCTGTCATCATGTCCTTCTGACTCACCGTAGAAGGTGTACATATAATAATCTGTAACAAGGGTGTCAAGAGAGGAGGATAAAGGGTCAAATACAACATTTTACTAACTCTCTGTAATGTCCTCAACTGGTGGCTGCAGGTTTACTCTGTAGTAAGTGTCACCAGAAGTGGTGTTGCAGCCAACAAAAGCTAGTGCAGACTGTGTGTTCATGTCATGCAGTTATCTCACCTCAGTTTCTGTCCCACACTTTGCAGGCTGAGATCCGTCAATCGAAGCAGATTACTCAAACTGACCACAAGTAAGGTTAAACTCTTCTCGTTCTCAAACATTAGCTAGACTAATGAGAAGTACATCACCTTCAGCTAGGTTTATCAACCACTTGTTTTGCCTTGCTGAGGTTGGCTCAAGCAACATTTCCAACATGTGTGAATGTTTGGAAAGGAATAAAAAAAAAACTATTTTCAATACAACGTTATGTTTTAAACATATGTGCCTATAGTAGAGCACCGCATACTAGCAAGCATAGCTACGCTCGCTAAATGTAAACAAAGATGCTCCTCGCTGTATCAACAGGTGGCTAACGTTAGCTCGTTCACGTTAACATTACCGTTGTCTTCACAGAAAAAGCTAATTAAAATCCGCTTTAAATTAAATATTAATTTTGTCGATTTGGCGCTACCAAAGCATAAAAAACACGTATGTGGGACTTATAGTTAAACAATACTTTCCAGGTTTCCCAGTGTAGATCTAGTAAAAGGTAAAGGAGCCGAACAATTTGTATTTTTTTGTCTCCGCCCATATTCCAACAACGCGGTTTGTGATTGGATAATAGGAAGCTGTCTGTGACGTGATTGGTGGAGAGGGCTGCCAACGACACTGACCGCGAACATCGGCGCGTGCACTGGAACTGTCAAAGTAACCGGTAACTAGGCAGAAGAGGCTCGTGCCCAAACAACGAGGGGCACAATTAAAGCTGCAGCAGGTAATTTACATAAAAATAAAGATATTAACTTGGAGGAGCCTGATATTTAAACAGATTATCAGTCAGGATATAGTGAACATTTCAGCAATATGACATAAAGATATTTTATAGAAGTTACTTTAAACATCGAATACATAAAACAGTTCAAAATATCAACTTTTATTTATCCTTTAACTAAACAGGTTCAGAAGTAACACGTCAACCTATATAATGATGTATAAAAATGTAATAAGAAGAATCTCAAGAGACAAAGCAGACGTTACATGTATGTTCTTTGGCTACAGAAGCCTGCTGGAAGTCAGTGGTAGCATCATGTAGGCTGAGACACTGGCTGAACAGAGGAGAGAAGCTTCAAATGCACTGACTACATCCGCACAATTAAGAGGTATCAATGTCAAAAAGGTCTGTCCATTTCAACAAAAACAGAAACATCTCGAAAAAGAGACATACTAACAGAATAATTACCTCTTGCAATGACATACAGCATATTAGTTTTCCAGTGATTGTTTTCTGACTCATTTTAAACAAGCGAGTGTTGCAGTAAAAATAGACTACAAATGATTTTGCTCATAGAAAAAAAAAAGCGTACATGCATACATATGGTCAAAAAGTAATTGAGCACCTGATATAAAAATACTGACCAACAACACTGAGTGAATAACTTATATCAAGACCTTCAAGACCTCCTGTTAAGCTGCAAATGCTGGCCTATACAATACAGTGAAGTTTATGGGCATATCCTGAGTGTGTAAACTACGAGGTGATTTTAACTGTAGAAGCAAAAATCCAAGAGCATTGTTTGTTTTGTTTTTTTTGCACCGTCACAGGAAATATTTAATGACATGGTCAAATTATCACAATAATGCTGAATCTCCCCATTATCAAGCCACATGGTCCAATTATATGGCTCAACATCTTTATCCAGGACTACTTGCATAGGCAGCACAGAAAAGCAAAATCATTCTGAACTCTAGGTATGAGGACTGGGTACACAACATTCATCTTATGCAGCACTTTATTTTTCTTGAATAACTATCAGAAAAAGTAAAAACTAAATAGGTCCTTAAAGATTTCAGAGTTAACAGTCATTTTATCAATTTCAAATCAAAATGTTATTTAAAAAAAAAAGGTTACTACAAGTCATCTTGGGTTTGGGCTTCTGATCATTTATATGCTGAAATTACACATGATTTAGGGATGTTATTTTTCAGAATCTCCATTTAAACAGAGTTATCACCACCATAAAAGAAAAGTATTTAAAAAGAAATGTATCAATTGCTTCCATGTATGAGCAGAAAAGCTCAAATGATTTGTTCAAAATGAGATGACAGTCTAACCTAACGGATATCATTTGTGAAATTTATGTGCAATCCAGAATTTAAAAAAAGAAAATCAGTGAACTCTTTCCCGCTGAATAGAAAAAGGCATATGAGAAAGTACAAGTGGAAAAGATAATAATAAATGTAGTATAATTCTATATAAAATAATAAACATTTGCAGCAGCACATCTCTTTTTCCTCCTGAACTGCTCACAAATGAGCACACTTTCCAAAACACAACTGAAGGATATGTCTGCCCAAGGCAACAAGAGGTACTCATAGCTGGGACTAGAGAAAGAGGGGACATCACTGTAAAGGGACATGTATTTATTTACCAAATCTGGTAAGAAAACAAATGTTAACCAAACGTATGTAATTGTTCACTGCATGATTACAGTAGTGAAATTGATGAAAATTCTTTAAACAAAACCTCCCCTCTTTCTCTTATCCTCCAAGATTCACCATTTAATGCATGACATACTACATTCTGTCAAAAACACTTACAGTTTCATACTTAACTGATCTGGAAATGAAAAGCATATCACTGGATTAAAAATCAAACAATAAAGAGCACTGAAAGCCTACGGGTGCAGTGCACTGGTCAATTATTTGCCCCTGAATAAATGGGGATTCTGTAAACATTCAAAGCAGGTAACACAAATATGGCGGTGGTACAATGACAATGCCTCACCCTTATTAATGAACTGTAATCTTTAAAACATGAGGAAAAGACATGTTTAACCCTAGACAGCACTGAACCAGTAGGCTTTAAACAGTAAACTTAATCTGCTCCTGTCTTAACCAAATAAAGGCATATACCAAATAATGCTCTGGATACAGGCTGTGTGCACATGTCCTTAGCACAGCCATAAACCTCTTGTAGGTGCTGGTTAGAAGTTAGAAGTGACGTCGACATTCGTCTAGGAGGCAGTGACTCCTTCCCACTCCACCAGGTACTGCACCTTGCCGTCAAGGGTGACCCGTCGCGCCAGGACTTTGTACTTTTCCCCACAAGCCAACCGCCCTGCTGCTCCGAAATAGCTGCTGATGGAGCTCTTGAGGTGGGAGAGCTGGCTGTTGGGGTCCATGCCATGAACTATGTCTGTGGAGTGAAGCCCCGGGAGCGGGCTCAGCACCTCTGTAGCTGAAGGATTTGGGTCTGAAAAGCTGGGAGGGGGGATTCTCTGGGTTGGGGGCTGCAGGGCCCGTCGTGGCCGCCCACGTTTCCTTTTTAAGGGTGGAGAGGAAACAGGCATGATGCAGGCTGTGGTGCGCGTCTTGCTGGAGCTACAGAGGCTGGACGGGGGTTCGATAGGAAAAGAGGAAGTCAAGAAACTGTTTTTAATTCTGAGGGCAATAACAAAAACTAATTATACAGAGGAGACAAAAGGCTAGACTAGAGTCTACAGACATGCTAGTGGCTCTGTATTTAAGCACAGTGCTGCTTTGAGCTAAAGGCTAACTTCAGCATGAAACAGTGAAAACGCATCGCTGGAGCTGATGGGAATGTCAATAGTTTTTCCAAGTATGTAGTAATAAAGTACTGGACTAACCGGAATTATGACTTGGTAGCAGCAGAGTTTCTACAATTCATCCTGAGAGGAACATGAATGTCTGAACCAAATTTAATGTCAATCCGTCCAACAGTTGAGATATTTCAGTCTGGTCCAAAGTGTTGGACTGACAGACTGACAGACTGAACAACACTGCTGTGCATAGAGTCGTAGATTTCAAAGTGACAGAGGGTAAATGTCACAGTTGCATATTGTGCATACCTGGACTGTCTTGAAATGCTAGTTGAGGTAGTTTCTGAGGTGCTCAGGGCTTCTATGGATTCCACATCTGAGGACAGCAGAGACCTGTCACGCCTGTGGAAAACAAGAAAAGGAGAATGGAAAAAAAATATACACAGAATAAACAAAAATGCTGCAGGCAGTTATAGTTACTACACATTGAAAAAAAAGAAAATTAATCAGCAAAACCATTGACAATCCTTTTAGTCAATCATACAAAAACACACAATGTGAGGATTTGCTGATTTTCTGTTGTACCATAGTAATTAAAAATATTTGTTTTGTCCAACAGTCTAAAACTATGGGCTTACTATTTGTATACATTATCTAATCTATAGATTCATCAAAAATGAACGGTTGAATAGAAATTCTGTACCCCAATTGCTCACTTACTTGATAGAGGTTAAGTGATCCAATGTGTGGGGCTCTAGTGGCAGAGGCTTTCTTATTTCCTGTCAAAGAAAAAAAACTGTTAGCATTTCTCAGTGGGTTTCCTTTTAATCTAACAGTTTCTCAATATCCCCAGCAAAAGTTACAGTTTGAGAGAGTGTGTGTGTGTGTGTGTGTGTGCGTGCGCATGTGTGCACACACACCTCTCACAGCTATGTATACACCCAGTTCACGCCCACTAATACATAAACACAGCTACATACATGCACACACACACCTGGGATAAGAGCTCACTGGAGCGTGGTCGTTTAGCCAGAGTCTCCAGAGAGCGTGATCCTTGCTTCCTCTTTTTCTTCTTCTTTTTCTTCTTCTCTGTGCCATTGGTCAAAGCATTGCAAGTCCTAGAGCAACAACAATATTTTACAACAGTTGTGCATTAATAACACTGACTGTTAAGCAAATTACAAGATTCAGGACAAAACACTTCTTTTTTGCATGTTGTCTAGGAGGTGAGACAGAAGATTCTGCATCAATGCAGCGACAGACATGAGATGACATTTTCATGTCATAATCATCTTGGCCAAAATAGCTGCGATACATGATATTATCATTATACCAAATATACTCATCCTTTTAAAATGGCACTAAAACATACTGGTATCACTTTATCTTTTTGTTAAGAAACAAATATACTGTATCACAGATAGGCAACTGTATTTTATTTTATTTTATTTTGTTTATACTATTTCCACACATCTGGTTTAACCTTTTTTGCTCCCCCTTGTCCCTTTGTTCAAAATAATTCAGGAAATAAATACAGATCTTAAAGCTGGCGAACTAGACAGCTTTTTCAAGTCAAGCCTTGTGAAGACAACAATGTGCCGTCGTTGAGCATTCGTTGACAGGTGAACTGTAATTGAATAAAATTGTGAGGTCAGTTAAGATTGACACGTCTAATGATCACTTGATCATTTTATGCCCTCAGTCCAACACAAGCAGTTTGCAAATAATTCAAGAGCTTACAATGAGTGTTGAGAGATACTGGCAGGGTACTGTGCCATTAACAAAGACTTGATTCATATGAGGTTTTTTTTCTGGATAGTGTCCCACCCAGGAATATCAAAACATTTAACTTCAAACTCAAGTTTCCCTTACCTCATGCCAGATAGAGCTTTGGTGGACTTGCATCCCTTGATGGTGATCTCATGTGAAGCCCTCTCCATCACTCTGCTGGTTGGCTCATCAGAGTTCGGGGGAGCAGGAGGGAAACGGAGCCTTAGCCCAAACAAGTGCTTCTTTTTCTTTACCTCCTTCCCTGACATGAACCTGAACGAGGCAAGGGAAAGGAGTGTTTCTTTCATTATCTTCAAAAAAAGACATAGCATAAAAGAAACAATCAACCATTAAAGGAATAACTTACATGCTCCTGTTGCTGTTTAATGCCTGCAGAACACATTCATATCGCTCTGATCCCGGAGTGTTAGCAAGCTGCAGACACAGGGGCGGGGAGTCACCAAACAGGAAAGACAGGGTGTAAGACAAAAGTGGATCTTTCAGAAAACCAACACCATATGGTTTCAAAACCTAATTTGGCAGCCTGGAATAATTTAAAATTAATTATCCCTCTATGAAAGGCTACCAATATGGTTCTCTTCTCCACTAAACTTGAGAAGTGAGGAAACTGCTAACGTCTAACAGGTTGCCAATCCCCAGCATTCTGTGCCAAATCCAGAACATGTAACATTAAGCTACACAAACACAATGTGTCTTTATGTTCAGTAGAAACTTTACATTGAACATAATGTGTTTGTCTGTGTTTCCAGAATTGGCCACTGGTGCATTATAAATGAAAGTTAGTGAACAGTCAAATGTAAGTTGGTTAGTAGTGTCCTTACCTCCCCCAACTGCAGCAGCTCCCAGTTCTCATTGATGTAAGTCATCAGGTGCATCTCAGAGTCAAAGTACTTCTTCTTGTGGATCACGCTCAGGTTGTACAGGCTCAGGTGTGTCACATCGACCCTGAAACATTTGAGTAAAAACGCTAGAAGATACAGGAAGGAGGTACTACAAAGTATCAATCGCTTTTTATTGCCTTTAATCGATAGTGACAGCTGAAGGGTGACAGAAGAGGGGGGAGAGAGGGGATAACATGCAGCAAAGGGCCAAAGGTCAGAGTCAAGGACTCAGCCTTGGTATATAGGGGCCTGCTCTAGCAGGTCAGCTATCAGAACACCTAAAGTCTCTAGCATTTGATGTGAGGAAGTATTGTGTCTAAAAAAGCACTACTTTGGAAAGAAGGGCAATCACACGTGTTATTTTATCAAATAATATAATGTTTTAAAGGGAAAAATTCACTCACCATCTGAGAGAAAGTCGGCTAAGGTACTCTGGTCCACCATTGCAAACAGAACAGATAAACAGGTAAAACCTAAAGTCAAACAAACAAAAAGTACATGAAAGAAAATTTTACACAGGCAATAATATCAAGTGTGCATATGGAAACAGAAAGTGGAGTTTAATACCACAACACCAATCATTTATTTCACTGAATTCATTTCCTGTAGTAGGACTGCTCTGAGTAAATAACTACATACTACTGGCCACACAAAAAAACACATTTGAACATGATGTTTGATCTGAATCATAATTTATTCTTTTAAAATGGTTGTCTGCAGTAATTGTAACCACAATCAGGTTGGTTTCACCCTGAAGAATGAATTGGTGTCGAAGCATGAAGTACTGTTGTTACTCTAAGTACTTTGGTTAAATAAAGGATAGACAAGCAGGGGCTCTTCACACTCATTTTACATTTACATTTTCATTATTGTACGCCTAAAGTGATTCCTACATTCTCCAGTTGTAAAAATGTGTGCATACATTGCGTCCTGAGCTGGTACCGTTTTCTCTATATTTTGCTGAACCTCAATATAGGCGGCTACTAGTCTTGAGTCTCCCTATCTAGGCTAGGGATGGATTAAAATAAATAAAAAAAGTCTCGGAGGACAATCGAGAATTTAATAGTGCGTGGACAGATTTGTTTGCTTTCACCACCAACGCTGCTGACTTCATAAACTTCATATATGGTTTTTTTGTGGGAGGGACCAGCCACCTATGTTAAATAAACTTTGCAACTCCTGCCAGCCAATCAGAAGCTGTTTCCACAGCCTTGGTATAAACATATATCGTAATACAAGTATGACACATAAATAGTGGTATTTGCACCTATCTCCGTAGAGCATGGGCATCTGTAAGCAATGGAGACAAGCCTCGTGGAACCACTGCTGACACCTGTTACACTGCAGCATCTTCAGGTACCAACTTCAAGGAAGGAGAAAGAACGAGGTTAGCTGTACCAGGATATGTTATACATATATACACACACACGATATTAAAACACAGGAAATTGGTTACCCATATTATTTAATGTGTTCTGTAAACTATTTAACCTGCTACTCACTCTCCTGGACCTCCACAGTAGCAGTAGCACTGCTGCATGTTAGTCTTGTGGCCCTGATCCCACACCAGTTCATCCAGGGCATACGGGAAGGACAGGTGCAGCTCCATGTGCTGCTGCTCATGCTGCAGAAAGCCTTTGGCAGACACTCCCCCCCTGTGCGCACCCCCCCTCTGTAAACCACACACAAAAAGCATGTTTACCCCAACATAAAACTACAATATACACAGTGTGTACTCCATATAGCTACCCTACAGAGTCTCTTATCTCCATTGTGCTTCACAGTTAAAGCAGAGCAACTAATGAGTCATGTAAATACATCTACTCAAACAACGTATATATTCAACTAAAGGTTTTATGCATTTATACTCAAAACAAAAGATGTACCTTAGATATAGATGTGAGCTCACACTCTGAGCAGAGCCACTTGTCATCTGAGTCAATGACAGAGGCATCGATGATGGGGGAGTGGCACAGCTGATGGTAACCTAAAACACAATGAACACATTTACATGCAGCTGCCTCTACTGCATCATTCTTTGAAGAGGTACAAATGTCCTTGATGACCAGAGATTAGATCCCAATAGGTAGATTGATAAAGAATGGACAAATAAAGTAAGAAAAAGAGGATAAAATAAGAGAACTGCTTTGATTAATGATAGGTATAAGAGCACCAGAGACGATGAACAGTACCTTGTCCACACTTGTCACAAATGACAATCTCATTAGGCTCCTCTGAAGTTTCATCCTGGCATATGGAGCACACAATGTCATCGTCCTCATCATCCTCATCATCTTCATCCCCTGAAATGGACAAGAAGTCAGGGCAAATAATCACAAGTCTTCCACCAGTAGCTGTTATGTAAGCTAGTTGTGAAAAATAGTACATTTAAAAAATATTTTAAGTAAATTTCTGAATCACTGCAGCAAATTGAGAATTTCAACCACCGGAGGTCAGCAGAAAACAAGGCTTTTAACTTTTCCATCAGCGCTACAACACTGTGTACACAGCTGTGGAAGAAGATGTTGATCAGCTCAATTTGGAATTAGTCAAGATTAAAAGACAAATATACAATTAAATTGTGGATATTTGTCAAAATGTTCCATTTTTAATTAATTACAAATCATTTAAAGCTTTATTACAAAGCACTTCTGGGTCACATTTGGGTTTTAACTGACTGATCTAGAAGTGGATAGCCCCCAGCCTCTCTGTGTATCTTCCCTATGCTCCTGTTCACATGTGGGCAGTGCACTGGTGCTGTGCTGATGATAGACACTGTAGTCCGTTAACTGTCAGCCACAAGAGTAGGGAGATAAGTAAGGCAGAAGGAAGCAGGGGCAGAGAGCACAATCCTAATCCACCAATTCAAGCAAAACCATTTACCTTTATAGAAACTAAACTGCAGAACTATCAAGAAAATAGCAATAATATTTTAGATTAACCGCAAATACTCAAGGATTGCATTTATATTCAATAATAAGATCCAAATATTTAACATGTAAACCTTGAAGTTGAAATAACTTACCTGTCTGAATGTCCTTCCAGAGAACCCAAGACTTCGACCGATCCTCAAAAACCACAAAGCATCGCTGCTTGTACCGATCTATCTGAAGAACAAAACAAAAACAGATTAATGTCTTCTTAAACAGCACATTGATTTAAAAGCCTAAATTTACGGCACAGACAGAGTATCTGGTCTATGTCTCTTGTGTACTGCAATAGAAAACCCATTATAGTACCAAACAGAGTGTTTCCCTCCCACTAACCTTGGTGATTGTCCCCAAGTAGAACAAGCCATCTGACCACCGGGCCAAGACGTCCTGTCCCTCTGTAAACCTGTCAGACATGCTGTCTTCTCCATACTCTCCCCTGGCAGAAAGGCTTGTGGGGGACAAGGACACAGCCTGCTGCTGCCGCTGGGGGTGAGCTCTGTGATGGACCGACAGGTGATGCACAACCCCTGAGTCTCTGGAAAACATTGAACAACCAATAATTACATATATTAGTATAGATATAACAACACATTATACTGATATTGAGAGGGTAAAAATACAGGTACAAGATGAGCCAAGCTTTCACACAGGCCCAAGTTATTTTTTAATAAAAACGTGTCCCCTCCAGTGGATACAAACAGGTGATTGTACTCATAATTAGCCTAATTGGTAATTAACCACAACCACGCAGACTGTTAACATGGCTGCAGGACAATGCTGAGATTTTCTATATACATATTCAACGTTTAAAAATAAATAAACGCATAGGTTACTATTATTATTATTTTAAACATAGTTACATATAAACTGACAACTACATATCATTACCTGTTGTCAATGTACAATTTTAGGACTTCACTTTTTTTTTTTAATCTTTTGCAGCAAAGCGTTACTCATTGAGTTATATTAGAAACTAACGTTAAATTAAATGTTTCTTTTCCCCCTTTATCCTCTGTCCGTCAGACCTTCCCTTTGTTCGGATACTGGGTGAACATGATCAGTCTGAACCAAGCACAGAGGATAAAGGGACAGTTTGGAGATAACGCTGCATGCTGAAATAGTAGTTCATAAAGCGGCTAGCAGCCAGGCCCGGTTGTTGGCATTAATAACCCACATGTAAAGCTTTAACCCCGGACAGGTCGCTGACCGTCGGACCCCCCCCCCACCACCACCACCACCACAGGAGGAAAACATGATCACAACAATACCTCATTCGGTCACCTCCGCTTCTACAAACGACTCGTACTACAAAATAAGAGGATGTGAAGGGCCGCTTTTATCCCGCTCCTCCTGAAGTTGAGTTTATTTCAAAAGTGTATCGCGGAAACTGGCGGGGCTCGTGGCTTCCTCAGAAAATAACAAACGGCTCATTTTCCCCCAACACATTCGCCATTTTGGTTTCCCGCTGATGATCGGGGAGTGCATTGTGGGAACGACTGCTGCTCGCTGCGTTCACCCTAGGTTGGGTTTTTTTTTTTTTTTTTTTTCAAACATTTGAAATTGTAGGCAGGGCATTTACTGAACAGGATACATCCGCCCCCTAAAGTATGCACCCGTGGTTTTTTTTGGTCAAACACACACATCTTGTTCGGCGGAGTTTCCTCTGTCGGTGTGGATGAAAGTAACCTTGTCGCTCTTATTCATTAAAAGTCAGATATTTTCGCAGATGAAAACCTAGCCAGCGTTATGTTTTATTAAACGTTAATAAAAGTTAAACGAGGCAGTGTTTTATAAACGTATACATTGTGACCGCTCGCTGGCGCTGTAACATCATGTGATGTTGTCGCTTTTAGTTTGGATGTTATGGCCGGAAGTCGTGTCGGGCTATCGCTTCAATGCTGCTTTTATTGTGAAAGGTTTAGCGGAAGTGTATTTTACTCGTGTGTGCCAGCTTGACCCGGTGGTAGCTTCATAGTTTATCAACCACACAACACTCTGGATGACTTTACGATATTACCTCAGATAATGCGGCGCCACTAAACACACACACACACACACACACACACACGTCTCAGTCGGTTTGTTTGACCACCGGAAAACTCAGAAACATCTTTATTGTATATACGTCTATGTTTATTGTAGAGGAACACGCTGCGCCTGCGCCGTGAACTAACGTTTTTTTTTCAGCTTGAGGTATGTTGCTTTAGTTGAAAATCAGCAGCTGCTGCAGGGAGCAGGGGCGCAGGCAAAGTGCAATAACGGTGCGGATCACAAGGACAGGATACGAGCTGCAGTCCGGGTCGGGGATCATGGTGCGGTAATATGCAGTCATTTCTGGCTGCTCGGTAAACGGAACGAGTCGTTTTCATGTGGAAGACGCTTTCTCCCTCCTGGATGATCTCCCACAGCCAGGTCCACGTATTGAGATGAGCTATTTTTGTGATGGCGAAGGGTCTGTTTCCACGGGCCTGGGTGAAAAAGTCTTTCTACTTCCAGGTAATATCACTGTTCGATCATTTCTCTGTAAATTAGCGTTGTATCCAGCGGGGTGTGTTTAAATGGACTGTGCGCCTGTGTATAATGGGGTCGTCGCGGTGTCACATCAGACTGACAGCTGGCTGTAAACATACCTGCTCGGCCTGTTCTGATGCGCTGCTTCAGAGAAGATGAGGAGTGTGAGTGCTCATGAAACATTAAGACCATGACAGCCTTTCTGCTGATCCTGAATGGTTTGGTACAGACCAGAGTACAGACCAGAGTACAGACCAGAGTACAGACCAGAGTACAGACCAGAGTACAGGGCTGCCACTCAGACTCTGTACAACATGGGAGGAGAAATTGGTAATCCATGCCAGCATTTATTACCCAGGGCCAGGGAGGAATCTGGATCATTTTCATTCAACCTTTATCTAAATGTAATGCCCTCATTTCCAATGAGAGTACAACAGAGTGAATACACACAAACAACAACAACAACAGATCTAAAACAGCTATATTGAATGTGGAGTAGTTTGCAATCATGGTTTTAATCTCACTTCATTTCAAGTATTCTTCTCCTCACTGAAAAGCTGCCAAGACTTTCAACAGCTCACAGTAGTTTCATCACCTCCAGAAGTGCCAGAGCAGCAGTAATCCCTTTGGTTGGATCATAAGGGCAATCCTTCTGATCTGAGGACCAGTGACCTGCTGCCAGCAACAACCTAAACTACCTCCAGTACCTGTTAAGATAGTGTTTACTCCACCCTCCTACATACATATATATTTTTGGCCCCACTGGTCTTGTATGTGTTTATACATTTAATTGTCATTTGTCCTGTTCCTGTTTTTGTACAGAGTTTGTATGTGTGCAAGTAGCGGAAACATTTTTTTAAAAATACATTCAGTGTTTGTATGATATTTCAGTAAATGTGTGAATTTATTAGTCTACTGATCTTACTTCCAGTTGGTGCCTTTTTATATTTAGGCAACACAACACACCAACATAATGCAGACAGACTGATAACAAATCTAAAAAGAAGTCTTGTTTTGGGACCTGCTTGTTTATGGCGACACACCAAAAAGTGTGTTGGCAGAGGCAGGTTATCCAGATCGGTTACAGGACGTGGTGTTTGGTTTGTACCAAGGTCCACGGTGCTGTTCAAAGAAGCAAGTTTAGAGAGATATCGGAGTAAAATCCAGTTTTTCTTGCTTCAACATTCCATTTTCCAGATTTGAGGTGGTTCCAGGTTTAAGTTCTCACACTCACTAAACCTGTTTCATGTATTACACATCTACAGTAGCAAACTAAACCATGCAGCCGTGTAACATCTGAACATCTGTAGACTAAAGTAGGACAAATGGCTTTTAAAAGGTCAAAGGTTTTTTTTTTAAGTACCTGAGTTCAAAAAGCCACATGAAAGCCAGTTTTAGATTTTGTAGATTTCAGTCTTACCTGTCAGGTTGCTTTGATACCAAACATTACAGTTCTTAAGTATCTTTGTCCTGTTTTTGTGGACTAGGAGGGAATGAATGAGTCTGTAAAGATATTGTTTCATTCTGGGATTTTGTGGCAGCACAGAGAAAGTAGGAGAGTAAAGGATGATGGCTAAGATACTTGGCATCATGGGAAACACCTCCCTGTCCCTGTGAAACCCTGACTGCAGTTTCAGGCTGCTCCATCCACAGTATATGAAGACGTGATCCTGCAGGTCTTTTGTCCCTGTTGTTGCGACTGGACTATAAGAGGTCAATACTTCATGAGGGGTAATGCTCAGTAACTCAATCTAACTGATGGCAGCTGGTAAGCCTACAGTTTCCACTACAGGGTTTTTGTACTGCGACTTCACAGTTTGAACAGTTTTCCTGTGACTGCACTTTTCGTTACCAGCTCCCTTTATCGTCAGTATTATCATCAGTATTTTGCACTGTTGTTGCCATGTCAACTGTGTTATACTACTTTACATCTTAAGGACATGTTGAGCCAACAATGTCTTTTTTGATTGATTTTCAACACTTACATACGCATACAGAATATGCATGCATGAACAAAGTCTTCATACATCAAATAACATAGTAAAAACTATAATAAATAAAAGTGTTGGGGATTGCATTAGAATGATATGCTTTAGTTTACCTAAAGGTTACGTTAATGCACAAATGCTGAAAACAAAAAGAGGTTTTTGTTTGCAGAAGGCTACTTATAAATACTTATAAGTCTGTCTTCTCTAGATAAGATATGCAGGGGCCATGTTGTGCTTTTTTAAAGGTGGATTAGGGTTTTTATTTTATTTTACTGTACTCCACTCTTCTTCAAGTATAACATTTCTATCTCTTCTTGTATTCTGTTTCTCACTCAGTTCAACGTCTTCACCGTTTTACGTACTATAGTACATTTATTACATGTACATTGTATATAATGCCTCTATATCACACTTTGTTTTATACATAGTATTCAGCTCCCTTTTGTCACAATTGAATTCCCTGCATGGGATCACTTAAGGTCGTCTAATGTTATCAGCCAAGGCAAATGCTGCATATGTGGTTGCAGTGAAGAGGAGACGCTGGAATAGACCACACGAAGTGTGTGAAGGATAAAACTCTTTACTGCTCAGGTTTCACTTCTTTAACTCTGAGGCTTCATCATGTGTTTGCACAGACACGTTGAGACAGACGGCGTGCCCACATTTATTCTTTATAGTCCCACCATATTGTCTGTGTGTGTTTTAGGCACATGCATTATCTACGTGCAGTTCCTACATGCATGCCGGAGGAGTCAGATCTAATTGTGATGTGTAGTTCCCTTTTTACTCCCCTGATACCTCCCGTTTCTCCCTCGAGGCCCACTATCTGTTTGTTCATGTCTTCAGGACATAGAGCAGATCTGCAGAGGAGACGTCTCTGCAGCTCTATCATGAAGCTGCTGGTAAAGCTCTAACCAATGGACAATTTGATGAAATGCACCAAAGAGAATGAAAGGCAGGATGATTATGGTTTTCCTGTGTCCTCCCTTTGCTTTTCTGTGATGTCTTGAGCTCAAAGTTGGACTGTGTTGCATATTTAGTTTGAACAAATTCCATGAAAAAAACATGGACCTCATTAAAAATCTGAGACGTTATATTCCTTAATCTGAATTTATGACAGTAGTTAGACGTCTGTATGTACTTGAAGGTGGATCTGATCTCAGTTCTGCTGCACTTTGTATGGACAGAAAACACTTCTGTCCAGATCAGAGCTGTTTACCAAGTACAATAATCACAGCACATCAGAGATAAAAAGGCTTGTGTTTGGTCCCTGCCTCACTGGGTGCATATTTTGTTGGGATTTGGAAACTGTGCTGGAGCTGAAATGAGAGGAACAGCGCGCTGCCAAAACACACACAACATAAGCTGTTCCTGCCATGTGATCAGAGTGAGAATCAAAATCACTTTATCCTCCCCAAGTGCAGTTACAGTCCTTGGAGAAAAACTAAACTGCAAAAGTCACATACTGTGGCTTACATAGCAAATTTGACCTAAATTCTTCTTCACTGCTGCAATGTGCCTTCCAACAACTTGCTTTTCTTCGTGTTTTTAACTAGTTTGCATTGCAGTAGTCACGCACCACTAAAATGTTTTTATGTTTTATAACATAAATGGAAGATTTGAATCTTGTTATGTTCTGTTTTGGCACTGTAGAGTCTATTAAGTTAGTTAAAAAGTACAGGCTGAAATAAATCATTAGCTGCAACTCTTCTATGGTTGTATAACTTGTTCTGTTCTTTTCAACTATGTTGTGTTGCCTTTAGATTCTGGTGTCCAGAATGTGACCTATAGAAAATGTTTTCTCCTAAGTGAAGAATTCTGTTTATATCACTGCCTTTTTGTCTTTTATCACTGTGGAAAATAAGTTACTGACTGCATTAACTTGCACAATGTCACAAGGTGCATTGTGAGACATGTGATGTGTGCATCCTGTGACACGGGCAGCAATTAGATTTTCTTTTAACAAGCCATAACCAGAATGGTACGCTGGAACAACTGGATCGGCACCCCCTAAACCATCCAGCTAAACGAGCCATTGTTGGTGACTTTTCAGTCAGACAGCACCTTGTTATGGGACACCCTCATGCAGTCACCATGGTAACCTATTATGTGATCAGGTTTGATTAGGGAGTGCAAATGTCTTGCTTGGATTGACACCCTCTTGGTGTATTGTGCCTGTGTAACGTTAATACAGTCTGGAGGGTGGATACATAGATTAATAATTTCATAACATGAATGGACTTTGAAATAAGATATGACAAGACATGAGACACTTTCGCAATAGCACAGTAGAGTCAACTGATTCAATATAGATTGTAGTGCAGGTGTATTTTAAGGTTCTGGTGTTGAGAGTTCCTGTTTCTGTTTGCCTCTCGCAGGCTCGGATCTCCTTTGTGCGGGTGAAGTACCTGTTCCTCACATGGCTGACTGTGCTGGTGGGGAGCTGGGTGCTCTACGTGCAATACTCCGCCTACACAGAGCTGTGCAGAGGACACGAGTGCAAGAACGCCATTGTGAGTAATGGCTTATTTATTTGTTCAGACCCTGTTTGGAATGATTTTTGTAATGGGATTTTATTTTGTAAAATAACTGCTGTATGAGGAACACCTAGCCTGTGGATATACCTGGATATAATCTGATTTCTGTGTGTTCTCTGCTTAAGAAAAATAATATTCCTGCAGGACCAAACTAATCTGATGGAGGCTAAACATTAAATCACACTTCTCTGCATTTTCTCCAAGTGTGACAAATACAGGAAGGGGATAATCGATGGCTCTGCCTGCAGCAGTCTGTGTGACAAAGAAACACTCTACATGAGCAGGTGTTTGTCTACACTGCCAAATAACCAGGTAAGTACCACATTTTATTTTCTGTTGAACCTCTAACTCTGCTTCTTGTGTTCACCTTGTTAAACATTTGTTTGGCCTTTCTGTTCGTCAGGTGTACACAGGAAGCTGGGGAGACCACGATGGGATTATCCGCTGTAAGCTGGGGGAGGTTGTGCACTACGAGCTGGGCGAAGAGCCGGAGCCGCGGAGAGAGGCCCCCGTGTTCGACAAGCCCACCAGAGGAACATCGGTGGAGAAGTTCCGAGAGATGGTCTTTAATCACCTCAAGGTAAAGGACTTGCGTCTGAGAGGTTCACACAGAACCAAATATTTTAGTCTGTGACAATCCCCTTTAAGTCCCTGTCCCTCTCTTTCCTCCAGTCCAAGCTTGGAGAGCAGGCTAACCTCGCCAGCCTCGTCAGCCAGATCCTCTCTGTCGCCGATGGCAACAAAGATGGACGGGTGTCCCTGCCGGAAGCCCGCTCTACATGGGCCCTCCTGCAGATGGATGAGGTATAATAACAAGCCTCTGAATAAGAAAATGAACGGGTCTGACCAGTTATCTGTGCCACAAATATAAATATGAAATCATTTGAGTCTTTGGTGAGACACATCTGTTCTTTGTTGTTTTTTGAGGTGCTGCTGGGCCTACTGCTCCAGGACCGTGGACACACTCCTCGCCTCCTCGGTTACTGCGGGGACCTGTACATGACAGAGCGAGTTCCTTACGGGCCCCTGTATGGTTTGTCTCTACCCTGGCCACTAGTCTCCTGGGTGCCCAGTGGCTTGCAGCGCACTATGGACCAGTGGTTCACCCCCTCATGGCCTCGTAAAGCTAAGATCTCCATGGGCCTGCTGGAGCTGGTGGAGGACATCTTCCACGGCACGTACGGCAGCTTCCTGATCTGCGACCTCGCCGCAGCACACTTTGGTTACACAGACCGCCACGAGATCCGTCTGACTAACACCCGAGCGGTGGTTTCTGAGGATGAGTTCAAGCGCACCATGCGGGTGTTGAAGTGTGAGACGGATGCCGACTGTGTGTACGGGGTGGACTGCCAGACGTCGTGTGACGTGTCAGAGAAACGGTGCAGGGAGGAGCCAGTTCAGCCAAACTTGGCAAAGGCATGTGGCGCGCTGAAGGACTACATCCTGCGTGGGGCGCCTTCAGGGCTGAGAGAGGAGCTCGAGAGGCAGTTGTACGCCTGTATGGCTCTCAAGGGTAATGCTGGACAGATGAACATGGAGCACTCGCTTATCCTCAACAACCTGAAAGCTCTGCTGTGGAGACAGATCTCACACACCAAGGACTCGTGACGAGGAGAGGAAGTCCTTCTGAAGTCATGCCAGTCTGCACCTCACTTGGCGCTGAGTATTGATGATGCTGTGATTTAGGAATAGCAAATTTAATGAAGTAATTTTTATCAACTCTTTAACACTTGGAATGGTCAGACATAAGGAGACTCTACCTCCTCTATCCCAGTCTCAGAAGTTCGGGGCCTGAAACACACACACAAGATTTAAATAAACTGAATGATTGCATGATGCCATCAGTCACACTTAAAACAGTCCATGCAACCACATTGTATTGTATTGTTCACCACAGAGGAATGTTATGGGGGGGAACTGCTGGAAAAACAGACTTGTAAACAGATTTGACTGTTTGTCTCAAATAGCTGAGAGACCAAATTGCTGTTTTTACCACATAATCATGCTGATATGTGTGAGCTAACAAGGTTCATCAGAAGAGTTTATTCTGTTTAGACGTGACTGTTGTACAAAGCACCAGTTTAAAGTGTAATGATATTGAACTATTTTAAGATCAGCTCCTTAATTCTGTCAATGTTGCTAATGAGCACTAAAAAATAATCAGGAAGTGTAAAGATAAGGTTGGTGATATTCAAAATGTTTGCTTTCTAGCAAATCTAATGAAAATCCCCAAACCAACAGTGCATTAGTTCTTTATACGTATTGATTTTACTACGCTGTCTGCAGCCCCAAGCCTAGCAAAGCTTGCTCAAACAGGAGTAAATGGTGCATTTGTTGGACACGTGATGAAGGAACATGTCACCCAGTGCAAACTTTATACAGTTTTTGGACTAAAATGGAGAATCTGAAAAAATCCATTATTGTAGGTTTTGGCTACAGGTAGTACAGTAAGACACATTCTTTGTTGGTTTGGGTATTTTCAAGTGTAGAGTTGACTATAAGAGAAACATAGAATATCACCAGACGTTACCTTTAACAAGTGCAGACTAGTGAGAAATTTAAGAAAAAACCTTAACAGCCAGAATAAATGCCAAGGAGCATTGAAGCTGTTCTGGAGGCTCATTGTGGATTCCCCTTTGTCACTCATCTGCACAACACATGATCTACAATGTAATATTGGTTTGTCAGTATTCCACAGAGGTCATATACTGAATGTCAGTGTACTCTGCTGTACTATTCTCCACCTGTAACGCTAGTGATGTCGTCAATGCTGCATCAATGACACAAAGAGAAATGTTGTATTTAATTTGGTTTGTGAATGTTATCTACTTGTATTTTTCACTGAAAAGAGCATTTGTTGTAATGTGCTGTATCACATTATTTTTAGATTTCGTCTCAGTGCCATAGAGATCATGCTGAAATCATTTATGAATGTTTACCATCTCTATAAAATCTTGCAGTCACATTTGAATGCTGTATAGGAGTGTATTTTCCATGACCCCTTTCAGACAATGCTGTTGTGTAGTTACTCAGACCGGACCGACAACCTGACTTGTTTAACCACTTTAAATGAAGAACAGACGTGACCTGTAAAGCATGTCAAGCTTGTGGTCGATGCTGCTGTTTGAATTTTGAAAATGTAAAAAAAAGTGTTTACTTATTGAAGAGACCAGCATGATTTTTGCACAATTAAACTACATACCACTTCACTGTCAACCTGTCAGGTTGTTTCAGGTCTTTCTTAACACTGCACCCTACACTTCATTCATATATTCATATCATACATTGAGTAATTTATGTTTATCTAAGATTATCAATGTAAATATTAGTCATGGGTGTCATTAAGCAGAAGTCAATACATACACCAAACACATAAAATTCATTAAAGAAGGCAGAGAGACAAAAGCTTGAGTTTGAAATAAATTTATTTGTCTGTGATGTGTGTTGTTTTCTCAGCAGAGCGACGTGCCGAGCCCCTAACCGTCCCCTTCTTCTTGTTCTTGTGCTCGTAAGAAGCTGGCCTTTTTCTGGGCGACGCGGTCCTTCCTCTGTGCCAGAGATAACTTGGCGCGATTCCACCTGCCCGGAAAAGAGGCAACAACAACAACAGCTCCATTAACATTCAACACAATGTTTGTCCGCTCAGCACTGGGATCTTCCCAGTGCAGCTATTCAATCCTTAGAAAGGAAACTCACGTTTAATGAGGACAGTTATTTCCCCTGGGTATCAATAATGTGACATGGCTATTTTTAAAAGGTTTACAATCAACCATAAAATGCACCTTTCAACAAAAAACAAACAAAGAAAATATGGATATTAGGAACGCACCTCTTCTTCTTGACGTCTTTTTTGGGCTTCTTTTCGTGTACGGGATTTGCTCTGATAGTGGCGTGTGCTTTTTTGTACATTTCTTCTACCTGAAAAGAACAGAAACAACATACGTGTTAGTGCACCACGTCAAAGCGTTTCACTCTGTGCACGATGGTTCGTCTTGCTTCTCTCAGCCCCGTCTTGAAAGGACATTAAACATCAGCCGGTGCAAATGAAGGACCAACTACATTTTGCTCAGCATGCTTTGTAACATCATCAAGAAGCAGACAACCACAGTGAAGGTATTTTGGTACATTTGCTTGTTCTTTGTCGTTGTGGTCAGGCCCCATATAAATGTGCATAGACAGCCACGTTAAAATTAATATAGTAACAACTTATTGTCTTTTTTTTTTTAACAAATACCTTTCTGCTAAGGTGCCCTTAAACTTGGTATGCGATCAAGATGTGTACTGAGCAGAACATGTTCAAAATGAACTCGTCACTGCTCTCTGGTGGACATATTACGCAATAGAACCACTGTTTCTAAATTACCTCTAACACATTGTGGGCATCAATCTGTACAACAATTTGTTACCTATTGAACAAAGTATATGCTGATAGATATATCTGCAATAAAATAATATCAACTATCCATTAATTCACTTATGTGCCTTTAAAGATTACAACTTTTCAGCTCCACGTGAAGATTACAGGAAATATAATTTAAATATTTTCCTCTTAATGCAGTGTGTACATCCTGACTACAAGGAACTAGGAACCAATCAGTGTTTTTTAAATTTAAGAATTAATTACAACAACTGTTTTTCATTGTCTGTTACTGAACACTCGCAAGTGTAGGTTAAAGTGTATTATTCTTCTGTGTTATTGGCGTAACAAATTGAGAATTTTAGATTAGTGTGACCAGAGACGCTTTACTGTAGTCTCCAATGGTCACATGTTGTCTGTTTACAGGTAAAGAGCCTCCATCTTACTGTGTCTGGCGTGACTCCGTTCTTGATGAAGCGAGAGAACTGTTTCTTGTAGGCATCCTCGTCCTCCTCCATCAGGTACGACATGTAGTCTGCGACATTCATGCCCATGATGTGTTTCCGATGCACCTCCGCGTTGAACTCTTTACTCTCTGGGTCGTAACCGGGAAAGCGTTTTAGACTGGAAACAAGGAAGAGCAGAGATGAGGTTTAGTGACACAGTCAGACAGTCCAGCATTTCCCAACACAAAGGTTCTGGTGTCTTGGAATTACGATCAATCTGCTACAGTGATGGATATTTGCTCTGGTTCATCTCAACTCTCTCAGCCCCGTCTTGAAAGGACAGTAAACATCAGCTAATGCAAATGAAGGACCAACTACATTTTGCTCAGTGTGCTTTGTAACATCATCAAGAAGCAGAGACAAACCAGCAGCGCACAGAAATTATGATCAGCTAATGCAAGAGGAAAAAACATCTCAATGGAAACGATGGCGGTCTTTCTCAAAAGTGACACCTTTCTGAGATACACGAGTGTAATAGTGTGATCACTAAGTTAAAAGGGTCGTCACTTTGTGCAAAGCTGCAAAAAACTGCAACTTCAAGAAAGCCATCTTAAACTCTTATCAGACGGCATGAAAGTAAAACTATTTTTTCATTTGATCCTGTTTCTGCACTTTAAATTACAACCACACATCTGGTGCAGAGGTGAAGTTGCCAAAATAAAGGACGAAATACCCATAAAATAAAAACAGCTCTATACTGTGAGTGTGCATTATTCTCATACTGACCTGTGAGGAATAGCCAACCCTCCGTCGACCGCCCCCTTCAGTGCTCCGAACACCTTGTTTCCTGTGGTGGTTCTGGCCAGGCCTGCGTCGAGGTAACACGTGAAGGCGCCCGGCTGTCCGTCAATGCTCTCTACATTGAACTCATCTCCGGTCACCTCCACCTGGCCCTCGTACACCTGGTCCATACCAAACTTGTGCAGCAACTAAGAAGAGGAGGAAGGTGAAAAAGAGGACGTGAGAAAACTATTACAAAATCTGTTCATGCAGTAAAACACCAACTCTTACAGATTTTGAAATAAGGTGATTCAATAAATCTGACCTCTGAAATTGCTAATTCAGCAGTTTTCACTGTCCTATTCATGTGCAGGCTGCTGATATCTGCAATTTATCTGTCTCTCTGTGTGTGTATGTGTGTGTGTTCTTACCCGGCGAGCCAGCAGCAGCCCAGTGCAGTAGGCCGCAGCGTAGTTAGTAAGGCCTACAGTGATACCATATTTGGGCAGCTCGTGAGAGTAAGCAGCACACACAATCTGGTCTCCTTCAATCTTTGCATAGGCAATCTGAACAACACAGACGGAGAATGGTCAGTCGGGTCATTTTCAAACACGTTGCCACATGACTTCTCTCACAGTCTCTCACAGTCTCTCAGTCACTGACCTGGCAGCAGACGTCCCTGTTGGAGAACCTGACGATCATTCGGTACTTTGGTGTGTTGTACTTGTTCTTGTCCTGCACAACCAGGCGCTTGCGGGCGTAGAAGTCAGTCTTTCCCTCTGTGGAGTTAACATGAGCCAAATGTTTACTGAAGCACTATTTTAATAAACTTAAACAAGCTTAGCGGCGCATGCTCAGTATCACGCTGGGCTGTAGAGAATAAAGTCTTACCTCGTCTTCTCCTGAATTTGACTTCATATCTCTTGAAGTAGGCCTTGTTCTTCACCACTTTGACGAAGCCCTGAGAGGAAAAGAAAAGTCCAGCTGTTACCAAGCTAGCAAGAATTTAAAAAAAAGTTATAAATACAAATAACTGTCAGCTGTTATGTTTGTCCCGATGTTGACAATGCCACATACAGGTGCTTTAATAGGTAAATAAACGCTCGGTGTTAGTGTCCTGAGCTGCAAGCTGAGGTTTCATCAGCCATGGAGGCGCCACGCTGGAGCTCAGCGGCTCACCGGCCCGGTGCCACCGAGCAGCCGCAAACATCCGCCGACATCTGACTCTCAACCCCGCCGGAAACACCTTCACACCGCCGGACACATCTCTACACACCCGGACTACCAGCAATGGATGAATATCGATATATTTACTCACCATTTTCGTGGGGTTTTTGCTCCTCTTCCTCCCGGATTAAGAAGAGGCGTCTGCGCAGCGGAAGACTGACTTTGCAATGTGTCTGTATCCGGATGAGTCCGGAGCAGCAGCGCCCCCTGCTGCACCGGAGGACGGCCGGGAGCCAACAGAGGGCAGCAGCGACACAGACACAGCAGGGCTCCACTCATCTGCTGCGACACTGATTTAATATCTCTTTATTAAAGGTTAGAACAACACAGTGCAATATAATACACGTTGTTACTTAGCTCAATTATGTGTTCATGTCAGTGGAAAGTAAAATGTGTGTGTAAGCAGCTGTTAAGAAAGAAAATGTGTGTTGTTGCCCTTTTGAGTTGCTTTATTTTTAATGCTGAATTCTCTGTGAATACTATTAATATTAATCATTATCTATTGATACAAGGATTATGGCTCTAAGTGATTAAAAAAAAAAAAACACCAAAGCAGACAACAGTTAAATATTTAAAGGAAGTAAAATCAAAAACAAATACAATTAAATAATAACAAATATTAAAAACAAAGGATCATTCCTACAACGGCCATCATCATTCGGATCTTGAATATAAGAATTTAAATTCCTCTTTTACTGGAAGATGATGCGGGGACTTTAAGTTGAATGATTTAGCAATAGTCAGCGTAAATTAGAATAAATGCTTTGATAATCTAATTTGGTGCAGTATCACTCCCTCCAGGAAATAAGCGACACTAGTTCTTCATACAGATGGATTTATTGCTCTCTCAAACTCCACTTCATCGTCATCAATCCACCGTCGAACTGTTACAGGACAATATACAAATATACACGCATTCATTTAACATAAAATTGACACGCAGAAGACTAATTAACATGACGAGCAACGTAAATAAACATACCTCGCTGGCTGCATACAACCCAGGGGGAATGAGTCTTCTTGAACAAAAAAACTAGGAAATACCTTGAAAATTAACTGCGTCCCTTGCGCAACAGTCGACAAACATTAGTTCCTACCCAGTGCACAATACAAATAAATATTCACAAAATAAACCACATAAATAATATATGTAAACAAACACTGAAATGATTGCAAATTATATTTATGGCAGTTATATGCAGTGACGAGGCCGTCGGCTTTCAGACAACCTCTGCGTGTTTGTGAGGCCAGCCCTGTCGATGTATCATCCATGCATGTTGTGAAATTAAAATACTCATGGAAATTATGATTTGGGTTGGAAAAGTATAAATGATGTAACCTCTGGAGCTTGGGTGGATTTTAAATATATATAGAGAGAGGTCATAATATTTGACAACTGAATCAGA